TTGGTCTGGCGCCTATTCAGATCAAATGCTCTTCCAGTCATGAGACAAAAGACACACATCCTTTTCAGATACTATAGGTGTCGTACTTAAAATCTCGTATTGTCCTACGTAAAGAAAGAGGAGATGGCACTTCTCCTCAGCTGCCTATGCTCTACTTTCTTTTGGACTACAATCAGAAAGCAAAGAACTCTTCACTGCAGATTCCTATTAAGAAATCTCTTGAAATAGAGCAATGGGGATCAACCAGTTTGGCAGACATGTGACAAGGTAATCCCCACACGCTCCCCAACTGCCACTCCAATCCTCTTCCCCAGTCAGAGTTGCTGATGGGTGTGTGTGTGTTCGTGTACGTGTATATACACTAGGGCTGTGTGAAACAGCATTGTTCCAATTTGACTTCCGTTTCGACGATTTGATGGAACAGTGTTTCGTTTCAAGTTTCGTTTTGTTTCATGGAAACTGTTTTGCTGTTTCAACGCTGTTTCGATGTTTTGCCCTTAGGTTATTATGGGGAAACATAAAATGCAGCACGCAGGCAGATTGGAGGCTCACCCGCACCCCTGGGAGGGCTGCCTGGGTTGTGCCTGAATCCTCCTGGGGGTGCGAACCCTTGATCTGCCTGCCAGATGAGGGAAGCTGGTTGTTGCTGCTTGGGACCAGCACTGGGAAGATTGCTGCAGCCACCGGTGCCAGGCAGCAGCACTCTGGTGCTCTCATCCAGCAGGCAGATCAGGGGTTTGCCCGCATCCCTGGGAGAGCTGCGGGGGCTGTGCCAGAGTCCTCCTGGGGGTGCAGGCCCCTGATCTGCCTGCCAGATGACAGATCAGCACTGGGCACAGATCACTCCCAGCGCCGGGAAGATCAGTGCTGCCACTGGCCCCAGGCTGCAGCACCCAGCTCCTGTCACCTGGCAGGCAGATCGGGGGCACGCACCCCCAAGGAGGACTCCAGCACAGCCCCCGCAGTTTTCCCAAAGGTGCCGGTGGGCCCTCAATCTGCCTGCCAGCACACAGGAGCTGGGTGCTGCTGCCTGGGGCCAGCAGGGCCGGGGCAGATCAGCTTGGGCAGGGACTGGGCCGGGGGAGGGTCCCCGCATCAGCTGATCTGCCCCGGGCCCCTACCTGGAGCCAGCTCTGGTAGGGTGCGGGGCAGATCAGCTCATGTGGGGACCTGCCACTGCCATCCTGGGGCGGGGCAGCATCCGGTAGTTGTCTTTGCATTAACCAACTTGCACATTTTTCCTTTCAGTTAAAAAAAAATATATATATATATACATGCTATATATAGATATATCTATATTTAGTGTGTGTCTATAGATATATGTAGATATAGAGAAATATATCTATATATGTGTGTGTTGTTTTTTTTTTTTACTGAAAGGAAAAATGTGTAAGTTGGTTAATGCAAAGACAACTTCAGAGTACGTTTAATTAATTTAGAAATGTTAGACTTAATGAGCCTTTAGCAACTGAATTTTGAAAGTTGCTTGCCAGATTTCTCACGTCCATATGTGCATAGTTTTAGGAATGTTTTCATAATAAAGGCTGTGGGCTTGCGTTTTTGTACAGTTTTGGGGGTTGGGTAAGGCATGCTTTAAACAACTGGCACACTTTAAAAATGGACAAATAAAAAATGGCTAAATGTAGGTCCTTTCAGTTTGAGCTCTTCTGATAAAGCAAACAGGGCTTAAGATGGCAGTACCAAGCCAAAAAAACCCCCAACTTTCCACAAAAAAGTAGAACTACTTGTTCAAGTAAACTTACCTGAGAGAGAAGGTTTTGTTTTTTTTCGTTTTGCTTCCCTTGGTAAAATGGGATGTCAGATAATTCTGACTGAGTTTCTTGTAGCTGGCTATGCACAAGTTAATTGTGTTCAGGTACTACAACATGTTGTTAGTCTTTTCTTTAGTCTGAGCAGACTGCAGCAATGGCTCTCTCTTTGCTTTCTCGTGAACGCTGTCTGAGTGCAGACCTTTCCATGGAAATAAAACCTCATGGCTCAGCTACTTTGGGCCTCCAGTGATGGGTGCTGACTTTGGAAAAGCTTAAGCACACCTTTCCACTGAGCTCCAACCTTTGGACAGTGGGTTTTTGTGGTTTACCACATCAGGGGCACATGGTAATTGAATGAGAGAGACAAACTTTGTGAAGGGTTCCTAAAACAAACAACTTTTTTACTTTAGGTAACCCAAAAAATACACAGACCTAGATAGCATAACAAAAGCCTACGTGTATGTGTTTGCCTCAATTTCTTCACTATTCTGAAACATTTATTAACCTTGGTCAGACTCATCTAGTGAGCCTTGGATCCCTGCCCAGGATATAGTTTCTCCTCTTCTTATGGAGTTTGTGTCTCTTGTTCCTATGCACCTAGCCATATCATTGAACAGGGTTCTTCTGTTTTGAAAACGTATTCCTCTCCTGCCTTGCCTCCTGTGTCCCTGGGTCCCTTTAACTCCATGTCTCTTCAGTTCTGTTCTGTTGGTTTTTAACACTCATTGTTAACACCTGATTATTTGTTCTCATGTCTAAGAATTTTGCACTCTCCAAATCCAACCTGCAGAGAAGTTCAGGAAGAACTAGTTTCATATAGGATGGATGTGTTCATCCCATGGTCTTGAGGGTTTGCCTTTTTCAAAGGAGCAATCAAGGTTTAATGACCCTGTATGGTACCTGGTCTGTGAAAGGCATGACAAGGTTTGCACATAGATTACTGCATGCATGTAGATTACTGCATGCCCACAGAGTTGTTCCAAAATGTAGCAATTTTATTAAGGTCGACCAGAATTTATAATTCTGCAAAGATTCTGATTTGTGACAGGGAAGTTGGTGCATGGGACTGAATGGAGAAAGGTGAGAGAGTTGCTAGGTAATCTTTATGTTGTCTTTGTTAATGTGATAATTAACTGAAGAAAAATAAATTCTGAATGTGCCAAACAAATTGCAAAAACACAGTTTGGAACTGCTGAAAGCCCATCTTTTCTGAGCCCTGCACACACCCCTAGCATGTCTTTTTCACACACAGATGTTTTTGTCTAGATTAAAAAATAAATTCCTCTTGTGATGATGGTAGTAGTAATTTTTATTATTAAATCTTTGTATTTCTTTGACTTTTCTGGTGCAGCAGAGCAGAGTGGTGCAGTGTGCAGCCCTCTCTCCTCAGGTTTTTGGCAATAGGCAGCAGGCTGGATAGGATCAGTTGGCATTAGGGCTGTGCAAAATGGCTGTGTGTTGATTTGGTTTTAGATTCCGCCGTTTTGGAGGACAGTGATTCCTTTCGGTGTTTCGGATCACTGTCCTGTTTCGTTTCGGCCAAATCTATTTTGGAGATGCAGCTCTGCCAAATCTCCTCCGAATCTGTTTCGAAGCCCAGCCGGGCAGGGCTGCAGGGCCCCAGTGGGGAGCAGGATGGGGCCATGGGTGGCTTGTCCGGGGGAGGGACCACTGCCCTCTGTGCAGGCAATGAGACCCCATGCGGATCTCTGATCCCTGAGGAGTCAGGTTGCATGGCAGGGACCAGCACTGCCCTGCCGTGTGACTTGGCTCCTCAGGGAGCAGAGATCTGTGCCAGGACCTCCTCCCTGCCGCTGCCCACCCTGCACTGCCCCAGATATCTGCTCCCTGTGGAGCCAGGTTGTGCGGCAGGGACCAGCACTGCCCTGCGATGCGACCTGGCTTCTCGGAGAGCAGAGATCTGCGCTGGGGTTTCTTTGCCACCACTGCCTGCCTGTGCTGCCTCAGATCTCTGCTCCATGTGGAGCCAGGTCGCACAACAGGGACCAGCACTGCCCTGCTGTGCGACCTGGCTCTGCAGGGAGCAAAAGTCCACACTGGGGTCTCCTCACCGCTGCTGCCCACCCCGTGCAGCCCTGTGTCACCGGGGCAGCGAGGGGTGGGCAGCAGTAGTAAAGAGACCTCTGGTGTGGATCTCTGCTCCCTGCGGAGCCATGTTGCGTGGCAGGACAGCAGTGTACAGCTGTTTCCCTGCAAGCCCAGCTCTGAAACTCTGACATTTTCTGAAACGTTTCTGAAACGTTTTGGATGCCTTATTTAATTTTGGAGATGTTTCTGAGCCTTCTGTTTCGATTTGGATTCTGTGTTTCGGGTGCTGAAACAGCCCGAAACACCTCTGAAACAAAATAGCTGCCAACATTTCACACAGCCCTAGTTGGCATATCCCTGGCCCTCAACAGCCCCACCAAAAGTCATTAAGTGGTCCTCCAGCCTGAATAATTGCCAACCCCTGCCATATTTTCATGAGTCATGCACCTTTTCCCCATAATTCTGCTCCAGTGAGGTATATATTGTAATTGAGGAAATACAGTAACAGCAGTTTCTGCCGCCTAATCCTCTGCCTGGAGAAAGGGAAAGTAAAGCTGCAAGTGCTTCATGCAGGACTTCTGGCTGTGGATATTTGCTCCTCATCTGCCTTCTTCTCACAGCCACCTCTTCCCCTGCTCTTTGCAGAGGCTTTCAAGGAATATCTTTTTTGCCTTCGTTCTGCCTTTCAAAAACAAGATGCATATTTTATTGGAAGGGGAGCATGTTATATGTGAGAAAATACTTTATTATCAATCTCAATAGGTTTTTTTCAGTGTAACTAGCTGTTTTCACCCATTGGTAGTCAGGTCCAAGCTCAAATCTACAGTTTCAAAACTGTATTTGGCTCTGGTACTTCCTCTGTCTCTGTAGAGGTGATGCAGTGAAATTCCTACACTGTCACACAGCAAAGTTACCACTACACATCCACATTTGTTTATAGGTAGCCACTGAGGCTGAGTGCAAAACCTGGAAGGGCGCTATCACCACAAAAGTCAGTTCCAACTCCCCACCTATAAAGAGAGTAGTTCTGTAAATCATCAGTTGAGTAAACTTACCTCTAACCAAGATGAGAAGTAGAATGCAGGAATAACAAATCTGTTAAAAGAAGCTGTGTTGAATTCATGTACCTTACCTCGAGATCAGTGCCATATTCATCATATATTATTGTATGTATGACAGGCAACCCAAAGTTATGTTGACGAATATCCTGAGGACGGAAATAGGAAGAAAATACACACAGAACCAGCTTATAACTGATGCTAATATATCTGACGATGACAAAGTGCAGTCAGATCTACCAACTTCATCTTCTGTTGCCAGCGTAGAGATTTGTCAAATATTAAACCCTCCTCTCCAAAACCTTTTTCAGTCCAAAAGGTATGTTGCTGAGTACACTCTTACTCTGTTTCAGTACTGCTTTACTTCATGTTGCATACAAAGTCTTTAATAGTTTGCTTGCAATTGTTGTTCATAACAAATAATTCCTCTTTGCATGGTAGCTGTTTCTTGTTGTTGCCAGCCTTACTTTCACCCTCACCATAGCAGACTTTGTTAGGTTTGCTTGCAACTGTCACTTTAGGCCATAATATTTGAGAGAGAATGTGCCATCCATGCCCTCATGGGGTTTCTGATCCATTGTTTTCTAAATTGAACTCTATAAAAAAAACTTTATTTAAAATCTGGTTCAGTCTTTGGACCCTTGTAATCTACATATTTCTCCTCACCCTCATGAAGAGAAGAGATCACATTCACATCCAGCCGAGCCCTCTTCTCTCCTTCCTCCAGACAAGAAATACTTGCAGTTCTTGTCTTCTCTAATTGTTCTTCTGGATCTAGCTGTGACTCTACCCTCTAAAATATATTTCTTATCGCTGACTACCTCTGCTCCATCAGCAGCTTGACGACAACCCTGCAAATACTAAGGTACTCTGAAAAGAGAATCTGTACATCTGAATGGAACAGGAGTGCAAAGAACAATAATCGGACATCATCTTAATGTTGTGCTGTAACATGCCCCAAGTAGATCAGTACTCAGAGAGATGATACTGAAAGAGGAATATGCAGTGAATATCCAGGAGGCAACATGTACAGAATCATAACAGAAACAAACAAGCAATGACTATCTATTATTATTTGGAATAAGTCACTATGGAAATAGTAAAGCATAAGCAACAAAGTTTGAGGACAGTGAGAAGTCAGCCATCAGCCACAAAAGACAGCAAGTTGATTCTGATGATGTCAGATGTTTTGTGACAGTCTTGAACATTTTAACTGCTGATCAATATATTTTGTCATCTGATTGGTTTAACTTTGGCGCTTATTTCATCTAACACATGTAAAATCATCTCAGTTTCATAATCATTTGCTTGAAGAGTGTCACCTGGGAGCTGTGACCAAAGACTGGAATGAAATACTGAGTTTTTGTGATACCCGGTTGACCGCTGATGACCAGGCATTTGAGTGAATCAATCTGACAGTAAGCTTTGTTTTGTTAGAGACTTTCTGTTAATAGGAAAATTACTTTTTTTGCTCCATACTTCTATCAAATGCTTTGCAATTTCAATTTCATATAAAGTTTTATGGTGAGAAATATTGTGTGGACAGGGAACTGCAAAATCTTAAGGTGAGATGTCAAAGACAAGACTATGTTAATGTGCTGTTTAATTCAACAAATGTGATGTTTCTGTCCCCTCTCCGTTTGACTACCCAGCTTAGTGTAGTCTGTTACCATTGATTCTAATGTGACCTGCTTGAGTTAAACTGTTAGCTTCTCAGTGGAGGATCATGTTTTATGACTATAAAGGCCTGTGGGCAAAATTATGCTTTCTTAGTATTATTGATGTTTGGTGTTACCAAGCTATTAATTTACATACACTCAGCCAGAAGTTTCTATATCCAGAATTCAGTGTAGTATTTCTCGTTTCTTGTTATGTATGGCAGGCAGCCCAAAGTTATCTTGACAAATGTCCTGAGGACAAAAGTTGGAAGAAAATATGCAAAGAGCCATCTTAGCTTTGATGCTAACATATCTGATGCTGACAAGTTACAGTTGGGTCAACCACCCTCATCATCTGTTGCCAGCCTACAGACATGTCAGATATTAAGTCCTACTCTTCAAAGTTCTTTTCTGTCCAAAAGGTATGTGATTCAGTACTGATTTTTTTTTAGTCTTTCTTTCCCTGAAATAACGTAACTGATATGAAAGATAATTTGCCTGAAACAGTTTTTATCAGAACCTCCCTTGAAGCAATAGTTGAATTTTCCGAGTTCAAACTAACATGCTGCCAACAGCCAACCTTTTTAACTATGCTTTAAACTGATTCTTGATATATCTGCATTACTAGGTCAGTTCTTTTATCAAGAAAAAACTTAAGTGTGCACAGTATCTAGGTATGGTTATAGGCTTCTTGTATCACTACATTGGTTTGAAATTATGTCTAAAACCAGTCAAAATGTTACCCTCCTGTTGTTGAGAGATTTGCTGGCTTGATTTCAGGTAATTTCTTTACAACATTTCTCCACGGTGCTTTTGCATACTGATCTTTTACATCTTCCTAGAGCCACAGTTATCTCTCAGTGCTGTCAGCAAAATGCTGCAATCTAAGGGCTGCTTTTTTCATTGCTTAATTTCTACTTTTCTTGTCTTCTTTCCACATTTACCTAGACATGAGTATCATTATGGGGCTTGACATGTGGAACTAGTAGAAAGCAGGGCTGTGCGAAATTTCACCAGGTGTTTCGTTTCGACACTGTTTTGAGTCGTTTCGAGCTTGAAACAGCGAAATTGAAACGAAAGGCTTTGAAACAGCCTTGAAACGAAACAAGGACACTTGAAACATTTCAAAACGTTTTGAGTTTTGAAGCTGGGCTTGCTTGCAAGGAAACAGAAACAGAAGCGGTGAGTGCGAGGCCCTGTGGTGCTGGAGCCAGCAGGATCGTGGGCTGAGGGCTGGTACATGGGGCTGGAGCAGCCAGCAGGCAGGCAGAGGGATGGGGAGAGGCGATGGCCATGGTGAGAAGCTACGGTAAGAAGCAGCAGTAACCAATTAGTTCTATTTACATTAATGCCTACGGGTAAGTGAGTTTTGCTTAACGCGGTTCCACTTAATGCTCGGTTTTCCTGGAACCAATTAAGAGCATTAAGCGGGGGTTGCCTGTACCCTTTTATTATTATATTCATTCATTCCTTTCAATTTATTCCTCCCCCAAAATCCTTTTTGCTTTTGTTAGTCTATTTTGATTCTTTTCCCCCAGAAAAGAAATCTGTGCTTTCTTTCACAGTGTGCATTTCACTCACTGTGCAGGGAAGCACAGCATACGCTGCATATTATAATACATAATTTATTCAGGAATACATACATACATTTATATATTTTATTTATTACATAAATACATACTTACATACATTACATACATATATACATACAATTATCTACATATATTACATTAATATAGATTACATTACAGAAGAACACACAGATTTTCCAGCACATGAAACACTATGAAGTGTGCTGAAAAAATAGCTGGCAAGCCTTCAGGGAGGGGCAGAAGAGGGGGTAGAGGGAGAGCTGTAATTTCTACCACTCAAATTGAGACGTAGCCTCTTTCCTACAACTAGCAGGCATGAGGCTTCCAGTTCTACTGGCAGCAAGGAGAGGGGAACAGTGCCACTGCCTGAGTCTGCATCCCCTCCAAACACACGAGCCATAACCCCTCGTACCACCACCATGACAACAAGCAGCACCAGCATTACAGTTTCCACCCCCATTTCACTTCCCATCCTGAGCCTTCCAGTGCCAGAGGAAGAGCTGGAGCTGGATCTGAGTGCCATTGCAAGGGAAATTCTGGGGAAGGAGGGGGAATCATCTAGTTTGTGCTCCACACCCCTCAAGTTTCCCCTACAGCCAGGTCTCCTTCCCCAGAAGGCACTTCGGAGGAGGTTGAGGTAGAGGTTGTGGAGGCAAGTGGCTCAGCTGAGTCCACTCCTCCTGTTGCTGTGCCTCTGCCTGCTGAGGAGGGGGAAAAGGGAGCATCCACACATGTACCCGCACCCTAGAAGTGAGAAAGTAGCGTGGTCTGGGACAGGCCAGCGTTTGGGGTGGGGGGGATGTAGCAGGTAAAAGTGGAGAGGTACCTGGGGAGTCAGGTGTCTGGCAGGTTGTAATGTGTCAGAATTCCAATGTCCATATTGAGTCCATGAGTTTCTGTACCTAGGAGGTTGATGAAGTGCAGTTCATAGGCTTGTCTGTGAAAAGTGGTTTGTAAATTCCCTTTGAGGATCAGTCCTGAGATTGGAGACAGGTAGTTGGGTGTGATAGATTTTCAGTGTGCGCTCATTCTGGTGCGAGCGTTTGTTGCTTGATGTCTCCTACATATTTTCTATCAGGGCACTTAGTATTATCTCCATACTGGAGATGTTGTTGGCAGGTTTTGCATGTCTTGTCATGGCATGGTCTGGATCCATTCGCTGTGTTTTGGGCTGTAGGAAGTTGGCTTCTGGTGATGAGGTTAGTGAGGTTCAGTGCTTGTCTGTGAAAAGCGGTTTGTAAATTTAAACAAGCCTATGAACTGTACTTCATCAGCCTCCTAGGTAGTACGTATAGAAACTCATGGACTCATTATAGACATTGGAATTCTGACACACTACAACCTGCCAGACATCTGACTCCCTAGGTACCTCTCTACTTTTACCTGCGCTGCTATATCCCCCCAATCTCCTCCCACCTCAGCCTGTTCCTCACCCCCTGGCGCCTTCATTTCCATTTTTACTGACTGACTTTCTTGCCAGCATTACATGCCAGCCTCTGACTTCTTTACTATTCCTTTCATCCAGGAATAGCGCATGCATGCACACACACACAGCCCCCCCCTCCCCCCCCAACTGCAGGTGCTTCATCAGCCTGACGAAGGATTTTTCAACCTGAAAGCTTGCTAAGATATATTTTTCCAACTATTTAGTTGGTCTACTAAAAGATATCAGATTGACCCAAAGATGCTTGTCTGCCAGTGTCATGTCCTTAGATCAACATGGCTACAGCCTACACCCCTAGCACCTGCCCCTGGTCAGCTGACCGGAAGGACGTGGGGCCCTGGGCACATCTAAGCCCCAGAGCTGGGGCTGGCAGGGAGAGTTCTCTGGCAGCTGCTGGAGAAGCAGCTCCTGCAGGAAAGGAAAGAAAGGCTCTGTCACAGTTTGGCTGCCTGAGATGCTGCTAGTGCTACTGTGCTGCTTACTTACCCGTTGTTATTTAAAGTGATGGACTGGACTGAGGCTGTAGGGGAGGAGGAGACCTCATTGGGGCACACTACCATGTCATGTAGAGGCCCCAGTGTCAGTGAGGCCCTTAACACACACACAGTCACATATGCCACGAGTTTTGCTTGTCAGCAGTTTGAGGTGCAGTTTCCCAGAAACCCCTGTACCTATCTCCTTGAAACTTGACAGGCTTTGTGGATTCAGCAGGGGCTACTACCCCTGCTTTTTTTCATTCGAATCAGGCAAAAAATGACAAAGTAATAGGCATATTTGTGATTCCCCATTATAGCCTATGGGCAAAACGTTGAAACGCGTCAAAACAGCGAAACAGTTTTAACAAAACTAAACAGAAGAGAGCTTTGAAACGAAATGAAGTGATGAAACAAAACACTGTCCCTTTGAAATGGAAGTCAAAACAAAACAGTGCTCTTTCGCACAGCCCTAGCAAAAGGCATCTGACTAGGATTGCCTAATGTTAGTTTTTTTCTGAGTGAGCAATGCAATATTAGTTTTTTAAGAGAACAGCGCAGAAAGTAGAGACACCTGAACATCAGCAAGAACAAAAAGGAAATGGCAGAAGAAAATAAAATGCTAGAGAAGTCTGGTAAATGGACAACTAATTTTAAAATATCCTTAAAAATTCCTGTAGAAACCTAGGTCATGTTCCTCACCTTTAGAAATGTTAAAATTTATGTTAACAAGGATCTGTCTCTTTTGTTCCAAGCTGCTGTAAGTATTCCTTAACAATTAATTTAGGGAAAGCTACATTTAAAACAGGATTTATACTTCAGTGAATTGACCCTGATACTACTTTGGTTCATGGTGTTCCTTTCCTCATTCTTACAATTCTGATGGGAACACCGAGTATCTGCAAGTTAGTTCAATGCAGTACAAAAGTTTGATTTTTAGCTTATAGGATATACATCAGTATATGTACATCACACAGACTGAACCCATTTTTTCTTAATGGAGGAACTGCTCTTCTTACTGATTGTTCCTTTATAGCCAAGATAATTTTGAGAAACAGAAATAGGTCAACTAGAATTTAGTCTTCGAATCTGTTATGAAACTATTAATGACAGTGAATGAATGGAAGCCTGAGGTGTGTATTCTGATGTGACTAGGTATAGCTTTGGAATGATGTTGATTCTTGTGTGTATTTTTAGAGATAGTTTCTGAACATTTTTACATAGCTCTTTGTGTTTGAGAGAATAGGTAAATGAACACTGTGAACATATATACAGATAAATATCTGGGAGACAGCTACTGTCTAAGTTTTACATGAAGCCACATGTTAGAAAAAGCGGTGCTGATTTTTCAGTTTTGAAATTCCTGATTACTGTTTTGCAGTGTGCCGCCATTTTTATAAGTGTACTCAGTTTTTTACTTTTATGAAAGGAGAGTAAAGTGGTAGGTAAAAATGTATTAAAACGAGAAAATTGCAATAGAGGGAGCCCAAAGCTTTTAGCAAGAGATGGAAACATCTCTATGAAATTAGTTTAAATGAGCCAAATGTAAACATTATACCCCCCATCTTCTCTAGTTAGTGCACTAAGTAAAAGGACTGAAGTGAACAAGTCAGTGTTTCAGAAAGTGGTTCCTATATAGTGAGGTTTCTTTGGTTTTTGAAAGATTAATTTTCCTGTCTGTATTTTTTACAAACCTTTATCAACCTGTGCATTAAGGAGAAATGTCAGAATTTTTTTGCAACGCACCCTAAAATGATGAATATGCAACATAGGGAGAACTATTTTCAGGAATCATATGTCTTTTTTAATGGAAATGAGCTTATTCTATGATTATATTATACAAAGTCCGACAAGAACATTTGTTGTAAGCATACTGGTGGAACATTCTGCTAGTGAGGTGTCTGTCTTGGACTTGGACTCAGTTTTATTGTGGTCTCCATTTTCTCTCTAATGTTTCTGCCCAAGATACTCTTGTGCCTTGGTTTCATTTTTCTGATCATCCCTTCACACCTCTAGCTCCTCAGAGACTATGCAAGTGCATCCACTTTAAGGTCCATTTTAACCAGATCCATGAGAAAGGGGCTGTGTTGTAAATGAAAATCCTGTCTGTTATGTATGGTGGAAATAAATAATAAATTTAAAGTTGTAATTTCTAAAATACATGTAAGTGCATGTTAGAGACTGGCTGGTCTGCCAGTCCCCACAGGGGAAAAATATGGGCTTGTTATGCAGAATGAGATTAATTAAAATACATCAATTCTTTTAAATTGGTTAGAATTAGAAAGCTTGTGTTGCACTCAGGGGGAAACTTATGTTTTTCTCATCCAGGCATTTTATTTTTGGAGGGGGAAGGTGTTTCAGAGGCAAAACATTGATTTATTTTCCAGTGTTTAGAACAGTGCTTCCCAAATATTTCCTCAGCATGGCCTCTTACCCCCAGCCTGCAGCCCTACCCACAGCCCCCTGGCCCTGAGGTGCCTCGCAGTCCCCTGGCCCTGCCTATAATATTCACTCCTGACCCAATGCCAGTGATGCTCACTCCCAACCCGCCGTCCCCTGGCCCTGCTGGTGCCTCTTCCTCCCAACTTGCCGCCCCCCATGTGCTCCAGAGCCAGGGCCTGCAGCCCCCTGTGGGAGGTGGCAGCTGCTGTGGCCAGAGCAGACTGTTGCGCCTGGCTCCTGCCCCCCTCCCCTGTGGGTGGCACAGCTGGAGCAGATCCCATGTGCGGGGAGGGGAGGATTCAGACTGCCTGCTGCAGGCTAGGGGCTCCCTGCCCTGCTGCCCTTCCCCTGGGGCCCCACAGCCCAGCAGGCGGGACCTAATGCGGGAGGGAGCCCCGCATTGCCATGGCTGCCAAGCTGAGCCAGCCCCTGCCCATCCAGCAGCACTGGGGGCACAACTCCATGCCATGCTGCACCTCACCTTGGCAGCCATAATGGTGCAGCATTCCCTCCAGTGCTGGATCCTGTCTGCTGGGCTGCGGAGGCAGCTTCTGCCTGGAGCTGCTTCTGTCCCACTGCAGCCCCTCACCCTGCTGTGGGCACAGAAATCTTGTGACCCCAGTTGCTGATGTTGCGACCCCATTTGGGGTCATGATCCACCATCTGGGAACTGCTGGTCTGGAACTATGTATCAACAAGGTGTGAAATGTTCTACTAGATCAGAATGGCTGTAACTCTGTCTGTCTGTCTAAGATGCAAGGCAGTAGAGAATCAAGCTCAGTGTATTCAGTAGCCTTGGAATTTATGGTTGCTCTTCTTGGTAGTTCTGACATACAATTTAGGTTGCAGCATGTTGTTGGCTACAGGATGTTGCCTAACAAACTGAGTACCAAGGATCCAGGTTTTCCATTTATGACGGGAAAAAATGGAGTAAAACGCGGATTTCTCATTTTAGCAGAGAAACCCGTGGATTTTGCAGTTTTGCAGCGAGCTCTCTGTGAGCTGGCAGAGTTCCAGCTGGGAGGGAACAGGAGGGGGGTGGTCAGGCAGGGGGCACCATGTGCATGTACATGCACGTGGCCCCAGGCAGCCTGGAGAGCAGCTCCCTCAGGTAAAGCGGGGGGACTTGAGGTCCCCATAGGGAGGGAGGGAGTTGGGCAAGGTTGGGGCTGGAGCTGCTGCCCAGCTGGGCAGTGTGTGATTTTAGCTTCAGTTATTATGGGACAGGAGCAGATGACCTAAACTGTTACAGAGGATCAGCCTATCTGCACTTGTGATCAGTAAGTCGCCTTTTAAAGTGGTGTACTTATTTTGTCTGTTCACAAGTTAAATTACTAACACTTTCTCTACAATGTCATATTCTCATGTTGAACACCTTTTAGAACGTTGTTTTTCTGTAATGTCAATACTTGTAGCACAGTATTTCCATGGACAAAACTGAATTAGTTTGTGTTCTATTCTGCCAAGTTTCACAGTATTACAAGTGAAGCAGGAATGCATAGTCTGATCCTGCTCTGGTTAGTCAATATGATTGCAGGATCAAGGAGAATTTATTGTTAATATTTTTACAGGTACGAACGCCGCCCCAAAAAGTCAGATGACAGTCTTTTAAAATTAACTGAATCTTCTGAAGAAACTGAAAGCAATAACATTGTCATCAGTGTTAGAAGACATGATGCTCAGAAGAAAGGTTTGTAGTGAAGAGCAACTTTGTTTTACATTTAGATGCTTGGACAATACATTTAGGCTGCATACAGACATTTGGAGAAGTTAGATTATTGAGTTAGCAGGGGGAGGGGTTTGGAGATGGAGGAGCAAGCAGGGTCTGTGAGGGGGAGTTGGGTGGCAGGTGGGGTCTGCAGAGGGATTGGGGGGTAGATGGCATTTATAGAGGGGGATCTTGGGGGCAGGTGGAGTCTGTGGGAGGGATTGCAAGGGCAGATAGTGTAAATGGGAGGGGAATGGAGATGGTGGGAGGCAGAGTCCATACTGGGGATTGGAGGGGACCTGGGAGTGTTTGGCTGGATTGCGGGGGAGGGGGGCGCTTGTGGGATCTACAGAGGGGAGGCAGTTTGGGGGCTGTCTTCCCTGGGATCAGGGAAACAACCATCACCCCCAACAAATCAACAACCCCCTGCCACGAACCACTTGCCCCTTCCCCCCACCCTGACTTGCTTGGCTCCCAGCAGTAGTGAACCCCAGTAAAACTGGCACTGAGACCAGCTTGCAGGATGGAGATTTGGCAGGCTATGGTGCAGGTGTGGGAGGCTGTCCTTTGGAGGGAGGGGCTGGGGGGCTTAAAAATAGCCCAGTGCCAGGGAGGGAGTAGAAAAAGAACAGTCTGGGCCTGGGCCAGTGCCTGGCTTTCCCAGCCCTGGGGCTGCTCTGGGAACTGTACAGAAATTCAGGACAGTTAGATCTGTTTAACAGTGGTCAGCCCAATCTAAGTTAGGTGTACCTCGGAGGTAGGCTTACCTTCTGTACAGTTTACACTTTGATCAACCTAAGTAGTGTGAGGTCTGCACCTGGGCAAACTAAGTTAGATCAGGTGGCCAATTTTTACCCAATCTAACCTGTCCTTAACTCCCCACATGTCTGTATGCAGCCCGAGAGTCCCTAGGGTTTTGGGAAAAAAATTCTTGACCTATTTGTCTTTGAGTTACTGTATCTGAAGTAGAGGGCAATATAAAGCTTTGCAAGCAGTGTATGCATTGTCTCATAATGTTGTTTTTAACTATGGTAGGAAATCTATATGCAGGACCAAACCTGCATTTTAAATAATGGTAATGAGATAACTTACATCCGCAGACAGGACTAACTTAAAAGACAAGTCTCAAAACTCTTTTCTTTATTTATAATACACATTTCCTTTCATCTTAAAGGATGAAAAGTATTAAAGTGCTAAAATATTGAACAAGCACTCTACAGTCATCATTTTATCTATTGCTACAAACAGCTAAGCTTGTGTGGTACTATGTGCTAGCTTCTTGACATTGATCACCAGTGTTCCACAGATTAAGACAGGATGTGGAGACCACCATATCCAGCTGAAACGGCAAGAGGGTTTAGAAAGGCAAAAGACCCACATAAGAATTTGGATTAGATAGTGAGGATAACATTTCTACTCTGAAGGTAGCTGTGAGCTTAGTTACATCCTTTACTAATTTTTGTGCTCCTGAAGATTTCAGGTTTGTCACTTTTAATTTAATATAGTCTTTACTGTTTGAATTAATATTATAATATTTTTCTTTCTATCTCTGTTTTATCTTGGGACGATTATCTCGTAATTGTATACAAGAAAATTGCGGGAAAAAATCTCTTGTGGAAGCTAATACATGCTTTTATTTAAAACATCCTGAAAGAGATCTGAAAATAAAATCTTTAAGAATGACCACCAGTAAATTGTATAGTAGTCTGTGTCCCATTAAGTGATTTTTTTAAATATTAAATCTTTTGATATAGAAAATAAGGAAGCTGACCACCAGGATAAAAGGAGTAAAAATCTGAACAACACCTCCCTTGACTGGAGGGAAGCAAGCTGTCTGAATTCTGAGAAGAGGAAAAGATTTAGTGGCCATCTTTCTGATCAATGTAATACACGTTCTTCAGAAAAACTATTACTGTCCTGTGTAAGTAGTAATTCTGTTTTACTAAAGTATTTTCATGTTTCAATAGAAGCAACTAAAATCCAAATTTCATAACAGTATCTTGTAAATTAGTCTTAATGGCTGCCTATAAACATGCAGAAATGGCTGCCCATACATGTGCTTGTTGGTGTTCTAATTAGAACACATTGGAGCAGACTAGATTATTCAAATCTGCTTTGTGTTCTAATTAGAACGCTGCAGTGTCACATGTATTAAGCACCTGCAGGTTTAAAAATGGCCACGGGGCACTTTAACTAAACCTCGTTGAGTAAGGTTTAGGTAAAGCACCTTGCAGCCATTTTCAAATATGGAGGAGCTTAATACACGTGACACTGACTTTTTAATTAGAGTGGCTGCCCAGGAGCCACTCTAACTAGCTCCCCCTGCCACTTCTGAGCATGTGTGTAGGCAGCCAAGTGCAGCTCCCAGCTGCAACTCAGAACTATTTCTGCAAAGCTTTCTGACTTACCCCAGACCAGACAGAAGTGCACTGTTGGTTCCAGGGGGAGAGGCATCTAGGTGCATTCTGGGAGCAATGGCACAGGCTTTTTCTGCCAGTGCTCACTGTTTTCACAATGGGAGGTGGGGAAAGGCAGCAGAAGGAGATCGTTTTTGGGGCTCCCCAGCTGGTGCTGAAGGGTGGGGTGGGTCAGTACCTCAGATGGGCTCTAATACCCTTGCCTCACCCTTGGGGGGGAGGGGAGGGGTGCTGAAAACCCCCAGACTGAACTGCTCCCTTTCTCCCCCTCCCATTCTGAAAACAGCAGCAGGCTGGGAGTTCAGCAGACACAAGTTACAAAAGATGCTACATTTTGAAATGTCATTATCTGATACGTCATGTAACCAGGGGTCAGATTTTCACCTGATTGGCCATTTTTGAAGCTGTCTGCAGCCACGTGCTTGTGTTTCGTCACAGCTCTAAGCAGGTTTCTGTGTCCAGATCAGGTGAAAATTGACACTTCTGTCTGCACCATAAGAGACATCACGTGCCCCTAATTGATTTCTGGTGTTGAATAGAATCTTGAAGTCTTTCTTTTTATTAGTTTATAATGACACACACAAACCCTGATCTTGGAACATTTACATTCTCTATTTGAGTAGTTCCATACGAATTTGTATGACTAAGCAGGTATGCAGAGTTACTTTTGTAAGTGCTTTTAGGATCAGAGTCCAAGTAGCAGAATTTTACAGGTATGTTCTGTTGCTCCTTTTACTGCATCTTGCATTTTCAGAATTTTTTTATGTATATTGTAATCTAAGATGCTAAACTATGCCTTTAAAATATGAGTCACATTAATTAGTATGGCCTTCCAAATAAACTATTTTAAATAAATGTAATCAAAAACATTAACTGCGGTGTAAATATAGTATCAAAGCTTCCTTCACTAACAGAATCCAAATGCCTATGAACCTTGAAAGAAGTTAAAATGAAAAATTATTAGAGTTCTTAGATTCTTGAAAAAGGTATCAACAGCAAGTATATTCTTTTTGGTCGTGAAGCAAGCAAAACTGGGAAAGAGCTGAACTGAGGGAATGTAAAATCAAGGGTCTACTGTAAGTTGTCTTTGTTCAGTCATCTGAATTCTGTGATCAGGGCCAACCCTACCAGAGTGCGGGGCCTGGGTTAAATCAGCCTGTGCAGGGCCCCCTTAACATTCTTATAGAGCAGGGTGGAGGCAGCAGCCCTGACGCTGGTGCTGAGGGTGCTGCTGGTGTAGCCCTCCACAGGGGGCTGCCTGCAGCACAGTGCAGCCAAGGTGAGGGTTGCACTGGGTCAGGGATGCTCTTGTGGCACGGGGGCCCTGAGCTGCGGTGCCTGGTGCCCAGCAGCCTCACAGGGGTGCCAGGTCAGGCTGTGCTGCAGGGCAGGCACTAGACAGCACCTCTGCTGCAACTGTCAGAGCCAGGATGTCGAAGCATGAGGCCCCCAAAGCACAGGGCCCAGGGCAGTTATCCTAATTCACCGTACCATAGGGGCAGCCCTGTCTGTGGTGATGATTGCTTTCTAAAGGCCTGATTGAAAGCCCATCGATGTGAATGGACAGACACCTGTTAACTTCAATGGACTTTGGACTAAGACCTAAATTCCAAAGGTCCTGAACCTGATTGCTATACAGTACCATTAGGTTCTGACTTTAGCAAGGGTTGCTAAATGCTCATTGCCTTTCAATGTCAAAGACTGAGCTATACACCAAAAATTTGTATGCAGGTTTCTTCTTTAGTTTGGAAGTGATCCTGATTTCTTGCAAGGTTGTTTCCTGCTTTCTGTAAATCAGTCAAATGTTCTATACTGCCATAATCCAGGAAGAAAAAAAATGAATCTTGGTTTGAATTTAAATTTAGCTAAATTAAGCATACTTCCTTCACCTTGCAAGCTGCATTGCTGGTTTGTCACAAAGCTGAGTCACCTTGGCAAAGTCAGGAAACGAGCATCTTGCACTTCAGAAAAGAGAGTAAACCTTTGATTTTTCTTTTCTAGAAAGAACAAAGAATTAGTTCAGATCAGCTTCCAGACTGCAGAGGCTCTAGTGAGAGCAGCCATGGCCACCAAGCTAACCCATTTCAGGAAGATATTCCTCAGCTACTAAGCACAGAAAGTAAAGCAACATCCATCCAGGATGATGGGAAGCCTGCTGCTAGCTGTGCAAAGGAATCCTGCTTAGAGTCTCCTCCCAAGAGTTGGTTGCCTAGCAAACTGAAGGTGGACACATCAGAGTATATGAGGAAGTTGCGTAACAGATGCAGGAGCAATCGGACATTTATTCCAGCTGAGCCAAGTATGTACTGTACCTGCACTGATAGTAGTAATTATACATATTGATCCGTCTAGAAACTTAGGAGAGGCAGGCACGACTACCTAGTATAAATATGTACTTGAAGCAAAAGATTTAGGTGAGAAATTGCACCTTTTCAAAGCATTCTACAAGCGTGGGATGAATGCACAGTATGCACCATGGGAGGGCATTGTCTTGTAATTGAGGAGTAGCTTAAGGGTGGGTGACATTTTTTTATTCTTCCTTGTTCTGCAATTGACTCCTTGTGGAGCTTCAGGTAAGTCACTGTGTACTTGTTTCCAGTTTCCAAAATGAGGGAAATGTTTACTTTTTTTAAGGTGGTGTGCTGTGACTTCATTAATGCCAGAAAAATGTCATTGGGTCATTAGCTGAAAGGTGATCAAAAATGCAAGTTAGATACTGTTGCACACACTTATTTTTATATCTATACAAAAATAAAAAAGTAACGTACTTTTAAATGCCTAAAAGGCATTGTACTGGAGTGAGTAAAGGATGCAGTGTTACTCTTAACTTAGAATCTTCTCCAAGTCTTCTACATCCTTTCCTGGTTATTGAGAAATACAGGAAGTGTCACGTGTGTGTGCAAGTATAGTAAAACACCGATTGTTTGTAATCTGAATGGTTTGCAACCCACTTAATTCAGTGGGTTGTTGAATAAGGACAAACTGCTCAGCTGTTTGCTGCAGCTTCTACTTCAAAGGTCGTTGATCTCTTATCTGCTATAAATCATCAGCAGTCCTGCACAGCTGATGGCTGCAGCTGTCTGTGTCCTGGACTGTTTGCAAACTGTTGTCTTTGCAGGAGGCCAAAGAACCTAACCGTATGAAATATATCCAGGTTCTGTTGTATATATGTGGGTTACTTGAGTTAATGCACAGCTCAGCTCCCAGGGCTCTTCTCTCAGTGCAGCGGTGGTCATGAAGACCATTAAAAGAGAATTTCAGGGTGGATTTTTTTTTCCTAAACAGAAATCTTCAATTTGATAGGAGACACAATTTACTCTGAAGTCTGGGTCTTATAGTACAAAACTACATTTTTCTCTTCAGTTGTTCTTTCCAGTGATGAGGAAGAAGGATCTTCTGAACCAGATCACCCAGAAATGCCACATGTGCAACCTGGGCAAGATGATTCACCTAACAGCAGAGAGAGCGAGCAAGACGCTGAGTCTTTGCCAGAGGAACCATTGCAAGATGTAACCGAAAGCAAATCTGAACAGGTAGTCTGCTTTTAACCCATAGAATTTTGGATGCCAGGCTACGAATTAATTTGTACATACTTGGGTTGCATTACAAGACAATTTGAGATGCTTCAAGCAGAATTAGGTAACTTCTAGAAGCAGGCAAGTAGACACGTGCTGCAGTCTTTCTAGCTCAGTGGTGCTCAACCTTCAGGCTGTGGGCAAAATCCATTCCATGGAGCCATGTCATGTGTAGTGTTCTCCATGGATCTGAAAGTTGGGGGCAGGGGAGTGGACAGCACCCTTGGACTGACCCAGTGCTCCTACCCCATGTGGGATTCAGCCTGTGGATCAGCCCCATGTTGCTCATTTGGCCTTTTAGGCTGGAAGGTTGGGCACCACTGATGTAGCTTGCTAGGCTAAATTTCCATTTTTTATTTCTATCCCTGCAACTTCAGTGTTTCTATAATCTTAAAATATCGGTGCCTTTAACAGTCAGTAAAGTTAGGGACTAAATAGCAGCAAAGGTTGGTAAAGATACTGCTGTGGGTGCTTTTCCGCTCCCTCTACTCTTCCAATCCTTTGTCTCTTTTTCTATAGAGCCTACCAGGTATGTTGAATTTACACAGGGATCTTTCTCATGAACATCACAAAGGACTAAGTCAAAACTAGTCATTCCCTTTGTACTTAATGGGATTTGAACTGAAGGCTCATGTTAAAGTAAAGTCAATGAGACACTTGCCCATCTTATATGTGCCACAGTCAGTGTTGCTGGCGGACTTTAAAGTGTCTCTGAGGGTAATGCAGTAAGAGGTTGAAAATGTTATTGTTGCTGTTCTACATGGAGGGGGAGCTTCCATGGATCTAGGTCAAACAGTGAGGTTGGATTGAGTGGGTTTGCAGGAAGGGCTGTTTTCTATATCTGTATTGTCTTGGTCTTATTTTGAATTGTACCACTTTTCAAAGAGAGTGAAAATGGACTGTTAATTTGACGGGCCTAAACTAGGAAGAGTGGATTGTTGCTTATCCCTCTGAGAAGGTAACAAGTACAGCACGTAGTGTAGAGTACCAGCATGAAAAATAACTTCTAACAGCAACATGCACAAAAATTCTGATAAGGTGGGGAAAAATTCTGAGTTTAGCAGGAGAAACCTCAATTAAGACACTGTATTAAAATATCTTTTACTTTGTAGGTTTCATCTGAACCATGTGAAGACAACTCTTCCACAGGGTCACTTTCCAGCAGCGCACCAAATGAACAAAGGGATCCAACATTAGATATCAAGTATGCCACTCTGTTCATCGGGAAAATCAAAGGAAGAGCAACAGGCTGTGTTTCAGTAAGTTGGTTTGTTGTTATTCCTGCCATTCATAAAAAAGACAAAACTTCAGTTAAATTACATACGTTTTGAATCCTAAAGTTAAGCTACATGCCAAATTATTTTGATCAAGAGATGTCAAGATCAAGTAATGTAACCTGTCACTGTCTTTTGTACTTGTGGATTCCATTCAGCAACTGGAAAAGATATCAATATTTGCCAAGGTCCATACTCTGGAGATTTCAGAGACAGAATTTTTATGAGTAGGCAAGGTTACTTGTATTAATTGACATAAATCAGACAGGCACGATGTAACAAGGCAATGTCTTTTTTTAAGAGGGAGCCCTGTTAAGAGAGCCCAGGTGCAGGGCATTTGGATAATGAGGTAGTGTCCCACTAGGGAAAATACCAGAAAGGCAGCAAACAGTGAGAGGATAGTTTGTAAACAGGAGGCAACCTGTGAGCAGAACAAGCTTGCTACTAGTGAGGGGCCAGGCTGCTGTGCTGCGGTCAAAGCCAAAGATATCCCCTCATAGGGCCTGGAACAGGGCAGAAAGGTTTTGTTTGTTTGCTTGCTGCTCAAAGACTGCTTTATTTGGGAGGACTGGTAGAGGAGTTCATCAGGGAGCATAAACTGCCTGCAGAAACCAGCAGGCTAGGCAACCTGCTTATAGACGAGTTTTTTTTTTTTTATATGTAAAAAGAGAATACACATACTGATCCTGTCAGAATTTACAATATTTATCCAAATTCAAGATTGCCCTGAATTTAAGATGACCCCCCTGCAATAATTAGATTGTATACATAGGAAATGTATAAATTTGTTAAATTATCCATCTATAGAATCTAATTGTTGCAGGGTCATCTTAAATTCATCTCCCCACCATTATAACATGGAAAGCAGTTGCAGGGCATTGGGGGGCCAGGCAATGGAGCTTAATCCCTGCCCCCATCCCCCACTACTTTGCCCCCTGATATCTGTCCACCCCACCACTTGTTGCCCATCTGTGCCTACCCTTCTTGCTGCCTCTGTTCCCTTTTTCCCCACCTTCCCCCTCCACTGCTTGCCCATGTGAGTCCCTGCTGCTGAACTGAGCTGCGCCCACATGTGACCAGCTGCAGCGGGACTCAAGGTGCAGCAGCAGTCACCTCTGCTGCCTCTACCCCAGCAGAGATAGGGAAGGAACCCACCCTGTGCCCCTGCAGGAGCCCCTGGGCTCCAATCCTCCCACCACCCAGCCAAGCTGGGGCCCTATTTACTTTCCCCTGCTCCTGGTTGGGCCACACGGTCAGTCGCTCACCACGGGGGCCTCCATCTGGCCCCTACCCTTTCCCTCCCCCACAGATTGACCTGCTGGAGCTGGGGGCAGTGGGTGTGCACATGTCAAGCCCAAGATATACCCAAAGAGGCTCCAGGATCTACCTGTTGATTGGGATCCCTGGGTTGGTGACCACTGGAGTAGGGAGATAGAGGTGGAGGGTCAGACAGCAGCTGCGTTTCTGACCCTAACCCTGGGCTGGGGCCACAGTCGCATCAGTTGCCTGCCCCCTCCCCTCATACTTGAATCCATGACAGGGGGCTTGACACTGGATTCCTATTTTAAAACATCTGAGTTCGTTTTGGGAATCATGAGTAGGTGTTTGCACACCTAACTGCTACTATTGCATAGCATCCTGAAAAAGATCTCACAACACTATACAGTTCCATGACACCCTGCTTGACAATCAGTGCCCTAAAACTTACCATTTAAAGGTTCTCTTCTTTTCATAGCTTCAAAGAAAAGAGCACCAAAACTGCAGTATGGGAGATGCAGTAACTGACCTGCCATGTCATAGTAAATAGAAATTACACCACAGGCCAGGGACACTGTGAGGTCTTGGGTTTTCAGCAATTTCTTGACCCACTCAATATTCATCCCACAGTGAACCAACCCCCCCCCCCAGCTTTTGTTTGAGAAATTGTTCCATTTTAGTTTATGTAATCACAATTTGTAGCCTGCCTTTACTAATACAAAGAGCTGTTGGTAGCAAAAGCCAATAAAAATGCTTAAGTTCAGTGTCTCTCAATTTGGATGCAGTAAAAACCTGCCCAAATGCCTTTTCTGTTAGCTGACATGCTGTTGGGTCAACACATCAGTACAGATTTTGAGAATTTTATCTTAGAAAACAAGTTTTGTTTCTAGTCTTTAAGGTAGTGAGAGAAAAACAAGGCCAAGTATAGAGAATACTTTTAGTTTAAAATGACATCAGATATTTATTATAACTAACAAAAAAGCACCACCTTATGTTTGATAGTACAACTATTCTTAAATTGTTAAAATAAAACAAATGTTCACATCATTAAGTAAGGCTACATGGAGTTAAGCTTTTGTTTTTGTGTTTAGACCCCTACATAAAGTGATGTAGTTTCTAGAAGAGTTAGGTATTCATAGCTTCTACTGGTTAAATAGAGTTTAGAGATTGCTCAGCACCTTTGTAAATCAGGACACTATAATTAGGTCCTTCAGTATGGATTTAAGAGTCTAACATGAGTCTGCCTTGTCTGAATTTTTTGCCCAAGCTGTCAGAGAAAAAACCAAAATAGTCATTTTTAGCTTATTCAGCTGAGTGCATTTGGCAGCGTACAGGAAATAAATGAGGGCTTTTAAATTTGTTTTGAGAAATAATACTAAACACAGACTAATTTTTGTTGTTTTTTTGTCTTTTAAGTTCACTCCAAGGTACATTAACATCCCATTTCAAGGTAAGATGCTATATATTACTATATAACCTCTTAATAAATCCATTGCAGGACACTTGAAACATTTCTGTTTTGGCAGTTTCACATAAGAGTTCAGGTACTGAAAACTTAGTAGCTTTCAGTTATTTACTTTTTGTTGCTTATATGCTACAATGACAGATCCATTATGAATATAGGAATCTATATCGTAGCAACAGTTATACCTAATTTTAAATATGCAAGCACTTTCATTGAAATAAGTATGACTACTGAGGTGTTTGAATCTGTGCAGGATTTGGGCCTAAGCAAATGCCACTTTTGAAATGTTACAGAATTAAAGAAGATTTCTTAACCAGGGAATCATGAAGTGGTATTTTGGAATTAGGTCATTTTCATGGGTGGATCCAGGATTTTGAGAAGGGATATGTAGATGGACAACATCACATATAACATAACACACTTTTCTTCAGGTAAAAAGAAACTAAAAGCTTTACTAATATGCTAGGGGCCTGGGACTGTATTATTCAGTTGAAGATCAAAGCAAAAATTAACATACCTTTACTGGAGTGTATACTCATTTGCTAGATCATACATTAAGTTTAGAAAACGCAACAAACTAGACAGAAGTAATCAAAAAATATTGTTTTATTAGTCCTTTAGTCATTACAGTTAAATGTATATCTCTCACTCACATTCATAAAAGAAAATTTAGTCTTCTGGAGTATCTTGACACAGTGCATTCTTCACTGTCGGTCAGTTCCACATTTGATATAATGTTCACCTGAGTAACTGTTATCACACCAGAGTTAAGGTTTTTACCTAAGATTGTCTGCAGGGCTGTTAAAGAGAGAGAGAGATATTACCATGAATGGCTAACAGACACAGCAGAAGAAAGGATAACTTGATTAATGGAATATCTAGACCATTAAAAAGGCTAGAGGGTCATTAGCATCTGAGATTAGCAGAAATCAGACAGACTACCCTCAGACTGCCTCAGCTATGCCTTAATAAAAATGCTGCTGCCCCTTCCAGGCAGCTGGTTTTAAAGTTTAGGTGGAGCAGGAATCAAAGTGGGATACAACTCTGCTACTGCACCTGCCCTGGATCCTCCCTTGGTCATTTGTATTAGGTTAACAATTCACAACTAATAGAGATAAAACCGTAGTTTATAAAAATGTTAGTCTGTCTTTCTTAACTGACTGGTGAACTGATGGAAAGGAAGTGGATAGATTTACTGACAGAATTAAAGTTTAATATAATTGGCAGAGAATTAATGTAACTGAGGGAAAAAGAAGTTGGGGGGGGTTGCTGTTTTTTAATAACCCATGTGTGCACAGCTGTACTTTGGTATCACCTGGTAAAGGTAGACCTCTTGGGTAAGTGAAGAATTTATACTTTATACAGGTTGTACAAGTTTGATACAGTGACTTGAATGGAGGCTGCAGTTGTAGCTTTAATTTACTAATCTGACTTCCATTTGTTTCAACCTTAATGTGCAATTGCTATAGTGAGTGTGTATCTTGTTTCCTACAGTGGCTTTTAATAAGATCATAGAATTGTCAGTGGATACTGTCCACCTAAGAAAATTTGGCTTGTGGAGGAGTACTGATGACTCTCACTCTGAAAAGAGTAAAAATCTCATTCTCCTTTGGCTGTCTGCAGACTGTGTGGAACAGATTAAAACCCAACTAGGAACATCTGTTTCAAGGAAGCCATGTAAGTATGATAGAACTATCAATGCCCCCTTTTAGACATTTATGAAATTATGGGAGAAGAACCATCACTATAGAAACTTTTTGAGGGAATGATTTAGCTGATGTAAAAGCTTCTGACTCCTGAGTCACATGAGTGTTGTTACAATAGAAAGGAAGCCAGTGATGAAGATGTCAGAGACATTCTCTCTCAAGACTAACCTGAGTTTACAATATTGTGACCCACAAATGTAACACTGGACATGTGTTATTACTGAAACTGTACTGGCAGTTTTGTCTCACAAAGTTTAGGACAAACTTAACTCTTAAATATACTTGGAGAGAAATTGGAGAGAAAATGTAAAGTAAGCATTGTCTTTTACAAGAAGCGTGGGGATTGTGTAATATGAGATGCACAGGAATTTGTGGTCACCTGGGAGTTTTGTTTACAACCATCACCGACATTACGAATTGTGACAATAGGAATTGTGAGTCTAAATTCTCAACATAATTCTATATATCTTAGTCTAATTTATTTTGAAGTACTTCTGTTTAAAGGTAATACATAAGGGTTTCCTATTAAGCTTTTATGCTTAGCTGCTTTGTAAAGGGGACATTCAGGAATCTGTGCTGGGGTCTTACAGACTCTACAGTTCTTACTTCTGTTCCACCATTCATGGCTGATCTGCATTAATGTTCTGCCCTTTTTCCTTCACAGCCAAGGCCGATGAATTCCTATTTCTTGAACTATTACAACCATTAATGGAACAAGAACAAATTAAGCTGAATGAGTTGATTGCAGAAGTGAGCAAGAAAAACCGGGCACCCGATCTCTCTGACTTGTTGTCTTCGAAGCAGGTGTTACCTTTGTTTAAGGACCTGTCCCCTGAAGACAGCTCTTTTATGAAATATCACCATACCTTGTTTCAGCAGCAGTTGAAGGAGAGTGCCTCAGTTCTGCCTGACCCTGTGCCTCAGGTAAGTACGTGACCATCACTTGGTTCATTGGAGCTGCATCACTTGGCATTAGAGAAATCAAGTCAGTTTCCCTTGTGCACAATAAATAAACTATGGCGGTGTACTGTGTAGCTAAAAGTCTATAATGTTTGTTTGTTTACCCCCCTAAATGGGGCAACATATACATGAAGTGCTAGATAGTACCCCATGTTAGTACATAGGAGGAGAGTTCCAAGAGGCCTTTCACACATCCCCTGGGCAGGAGCCCACTATCATCATAAGTCCTGAACAGAAACTAACCCATTCCCTCCTACTCCCTCCAGGACTGCAGGTGGCTTCAGGAGAGAATCAGAGGAGATAGATGCTTATATTTCCACCCATTACTGCAATCTCCTGAGCTAGCTAAGAACAATAAAAGGAGGGCACTGCTCACTGTAAGGAACAATACATCTTGTCTGTTCCCTGTGGGCTCAGAAGGTCTAGTTCAGACTGTACAGCCCTCCAGTGATCTTATGGAAACAGATAGTGGGTTCATTGTACAGCCTGCTCCTATGTATAAAATTCTCAACAATTAGTTTCATAATCGGAAAGACATGTTCTAGTCAGTAGCCCTTTGGTACCCAGAGGCAGAGGTTTGCCTGATTTGTGAGACTGGAAAATCTGACACGTCATCTATTTTGCTCACAGATCTCATACCAGCTTTTTTCCAGACATAAGAAATAACTGCTGCTTTCACCAAATCCAGTGGTAACTCAGCACATCTGCTGTGGTAGCTCTATCCTTTTCATCTCCTTTTCTCCGCCAAAAACTAAGATTAGGGGACCCATGTCACATGACTGACTGACATCTGCAAACTGTCCTGAAGAGATGCGCTTTGTATAAGTGGGAAGTAACTACCACGTTTTTTCACATACACACACCTCCAAATATAATACACACCTTGTTTTTGAAGGCAACGGTGTGTGTTGTAGATGCAAGAAAATCCAGTATTATTATTGGTGTTGTTCTATCTGACTTCTTTAGTTGATCAGTGGTACACACATATACCTTCTAATTCTTGCAAGCGAAAAATTGTGAATTTTCCCAGCCAGCAAATACAGCTAGTGACAGCATATGTTCCATATTGTAAATGATTATTCATCAAAAATAGCAAAGTAGGTTTGTGCAGGCCATAGGTTTATTATCAGCCTCCTGCAGTGTGTGCAATTGTGTATAAAGATGATTTTTGTTTGTTTGTTTTTATGGCAGGAATCTAAAGTAAATGCAGCCAAGCCCAATTATGCTGTTTTGCATAAGCAGAATAATGGTCACTATGCCATTTCTCTGTCATCTAAGTCAGATGATAAATGGAAAGAAATAAGAGAAACCGGACCAGTTGAGAAGTATGTATGTTCTGTTTAAGTAAGCAGTTATGAAAAGGCCTCTGATTTTTAGAAGAAAAGTACTGGTTTAAGTAATATTTGTACATTAGTTGGAGATCTCTGCAGAAGAGCTACTGTGGAAAGATAAAATATTTCTATTCTAAGTTAACATGAAATGCACGTGGTTGTAATCTGTGCCAATAAATAAGAAGTAATGTGTGTATATCCCATGTGGGGATTTTAAGATCTTCTAATTAAGAGAGAGAGAATACTTGTATTAAGGGCTCAGTCCCTATCATTGCCAGATTCTCACTGATTTTCTGAGAGTACCATTTGTGTCCAACTCATCCCTTTAACAATGAACTGCTATTATGTCATGTTTAAACTGTTCAGCTGCAAAAATGCCAAGTTTGGAGTCTCATAATTTATCTCAGGGCATTCTTGGAAGAGTATAAAGCAGTTGTAAAATGAGGAAAAAAATATTATGTAATGTAGCAAGATATTGGAGTATATGCCTGGCACTGATACTGCTGCTATACCTAGGTTGCTATATCTGTCTCTTACTCCTGCTTTATAATTGCGTGCAAACCAGAAAATGAATAGATTCAGGGGTTTTTCCTCTTATTTTTGGAACTTGTCAGTGTCAGTCACTACATGTTATTGATTCCCATTTTATGTTGTCATAATACTTGTCATGTCTTAGTAGAAAGACAAACAGAAGCATTGCAGTTTTGGGAATAAAGTATTAACAAAATCCCGAGTGTTTTAATTACAGTTCTTATGAAAGCACAAAGATTGAACAAATGTGCTCTCATTCTTTGAATGTGACCGTTTTAATTCTACATTTCCTATTCCTCTTATTTTTTCATTCTTTTGCAACTTATTGCTAAATCCTGCATGTTGTATAGATCACAAAAGTCTTAGGTATATATTTTGGAATCTTAGAAATGGTTAATATGTTAGCTCAAAAAAATGAAGAAAGAGGAAGTGACTTGTGAGATCTTAATAAAGCGGAGATGTAATGGTAACAATGGAGAAGAGGGAGCCAGGATAATTAGATAAGTTGAATAATTCAGCTCTGCTGAGCATGTAAATACATTTGCCTGAACTAACACAGTCCATAAACACTTGTATCTAGATCAGTGATTCTTAAAGCACTCCAGGGTGCCTTGAGATCCATTCAAGGATGCCATTTGCTTTCACACAATGGTAGTACCACTAGGTGTGCAAACATGATTCCCAAGATAAACCCCAATGGCATTTATACACGTGCTCCAGGAGGGTGGTGGTGGTGGGACGGGGGAGGGGCTGGTGCTTTAATTAGAGCGGCTCCAAGAACTGCTCTAATTAAAGCACCTGCAACATCACACGTATCAGCATCTCCACACAGAAAAATGGTGGCAGGGACGCTTCATTAATGTTTGTTGAATCAGCTCCATGCTCTGTAATTACAACATGTCAGAGCAGCCTCTATGCATGTGTATAGTTGCCCAGAGTTTTCACATAGGAATGCATAGTGTTAAAAACATTCTGACTTGTTTTGGTCTGCCTGAGCTCTCAACAACAGAAGAATTGCTCTGTTACTTTTTGTGGTCAAAAAGAGTGAAGCCTAAGAGCTAGCATTTTCCAAGAGGCGCCTTTGAATTTAAAAATGTTGAGAACCACTGGTCTAGGTAATGAACATAATTTTTCTTGGCAGTTTTCACCACCTTCTGACCTTCAGCAAATATGAATTCTTTGTCAGTTGCCTGTTAGAATCACAGTACATCATGTTAATATCACTTTTGCTTTCCAGTTTGATTGTTTATCCTCCTCCACCTGCCAAAGGAGGACTGGGAGTCACGAAAGAGGATCTTAAGTGTTTAGAGTATGGAGAATTCCTCAATGATGTCATCATTGACTTCTATCTGAAGTAAGTAATAGAAGGGAATAAATATGTTTCATTCTTGGATGGATTGGGCTTTTTTTTTTGATGAGTAGTTAAATAGTTCATGAGCAGTTACAAAAGAGGAAAGAGGTAATCTAGTTGTATCTCTGGCAGTTATTTTTAGCCTCATTGTATTCCCAGTAGTGTCAGTTGGCTGAGTTTCATTCTTCATGACTCCCTTGAGATACTGTTATATATGCTAGGTAGAGCCGAGTGAAATAATCATTGCATGCGTATTAAACATGGAGCCGTCCATAGAACAGTGGGTACAATGGTGGAGGAGAGACTTTCAAGGCACACAGGGAAGTTAAATGTCCAACTGCCATTGACCTTCAGTGGAAGTTAGGTGCCTGAATTTTCTTGGTGTCATTGGGTGCTTGTACATGCGATTGGGGTATGGTTCTCCCTAAATTGAAATGGTGGGTTTTTAAACTGCACCATTAAAAATCCACCATTTCAATTTAGGGACTTCCATGACGTCACAGTGTGTCACAGTCCCCCATCAGCTCACCCACCTACCCCTTCCTCCTGCCTCTGCAGGCTCCACCAGAAGAAAAAAAAAAGCGATGAGTGGACTGATCCTCTTTTTTCCCCCCACCCCAGAACCTACCTGCCCCTGTGGAGGGCGAGCTGCCGGCGGGCTGAGTGGTGCCTGAGCTGTGGGGGCCCCCAGTCCTTCCCTCTGCAGTGGCAATGCCCCCCAGGCAGTACTCATCTGCTAGCACCCTGCCTGGGCAGTCCTGGGGGGCACTGCCACCACCAAGGGAAGCACCAGACTCCACACAATTCGGGGGCTGTGCAACCCAGCAGCAGCTCATGCGGGCAGGCTCGACTGAATTAAAAAAAAAAGAAAAAAGCGGCAAGGAGCCTGATCTTTTATCTTTTTTTTTTTTTCTCGTTTTCTCAGAGCCTGCCTGGGCTGCACAGGGCCCAGTGCTTCCCTCTGCTGCGGTGGCACCCCCAGGGCAGCACCTGCCTACTAGCCGCCCACCCAGGTGGTCCCAGTGGGTGCCACAACCACAGAGGGAAGCACCAGGTCCTTCATAGCTCAGGCAGGCAGGTTCTGGGAGAAAAAAAAAAATCAGGCTCTTCGCTACTTCTTTCTTTTTTTCTTCTTCAGTCGAGCCTGCCCGCGTGAGCTGCCAGTGGGTCGCGCAGCCCCTGAGCTACGCAGGACCTGGTGCTTCCCTCCACACTGGCAGCGCCCCCTGGGACCACCCAGGCAGGGTGCTAATGGGTGGCTGCTGCCTGGGGGGTGCCACCAACATGGAGGGAAGGACTGGGGTCTCCCGCAGCTCAGACCACTTGGCCTGCTGGCAGCTCGCCTCCCAGCCATGGGAGATGAAGGTAGGCTTTGGTGCCCCATGCACTGTCCCCACCACCTTCCCGCCACCTGGGACTGCCCAGGAACAGGCTGGCTTGTCCCTGGGACAGAGTGGCAAGGCAGCAGGAGTGTGCTGGCAGCCAGAGAAGGCATCAGAGACAGTGCATAAGGAACTGGAAGCCTGCTGAATCCAATCCTGCATGCTCCTATGGGATGCTCCATCCGCCCCACCATTGCAGCATTCATGATCCATGCCTGGTACCTCGAGGTATGTAAAAAAAAAAAAAACCATTTAAAACTGTGTCTATGGCCAAATTGCTGATTCTCCGAATTGGCCGCCATCAAATCTTCAGATTTGGATTCGGCCAAATTGAATTGGGGACAGTGATCCGAATTAACAGATCAAATTATTGTCCCTGATTCGGGCCTAATCTGAGTCTGAATCGAATACAGCCCGTTTTGCACACCCCTACTGGCAATACAGGACTGCATTGCAGAAGCTGTCAAAAGTTGGATGTTTCAAGAAGCTAGATGCTTAGGAGGCTTGTGGAGAGAGGGAACTGTTGGGGATTTGGAATGGTAGTCTGGCATTGTGAGATAAACATGTTAAGTGGATCAATATAAATAAACTTCTGCATACTCGATTTAACTTTTTAGCTTTAGAAGTGAAGAAAATAAGTTTTGCATTTACCCAGAGTATATATTTAACTGTCACATAAAAAGGCTCAGTAAGCACAGAGTGCCATCAGAGCTGTGGTACTAGCAGCCCCCAAACTTCCTAGCTATCTTCATTTTCAAGGCTTCTCATCACTTTCAGAACTACTGTTGACAGTGATGAGAAATAGCAGCCATGAAACTATCTTTCTCCCACTGTTTTCAAGTCTTCTAATAAATGTCCTTTGACAGCTGCCCCCAATTCCGTGTTTCTGGTGCGGTTAAGCAAAATACAGTTAGTATAATAATATAGACTAGTCAACAACCTTAATTCCAGCCCACGAAGGTTTGATTTGGAAGGGAGAGTGGGAGGAGAAAATGCCAATTTAAAGGGGCCTCATTAAAGCTGTGACTTAAAATCTCCTTGTCTTTGTCCTTACTGTCAAATTTGCCATTCCCTGATGGTGTTTGATATGTGTTTCAGCAGCACCCATTAAGCAGAGATGGGCACTGAGTAGAGAGAGGATTGGAGCAGCAAAGGATCAGTGGTTGGGGATCAGCAATCTGTGGTTGTTGCTGGGTCTTAAATACCCAGCCCAGTGCCCTAAAAGTTTGTCAACCTCTGAATTGTTACTATTGTAATTAAGATGCAGTTGATAAAGCACAGCGTGTAGACAGTGGGGATGAAAGATGATAGTCATTTAGGCAGTTTTTGCATTCAATTAATATTCACATAACTGACGTTTCCTACAAAGTAAGTAACAGGCAACAAATGGGGACTGGCATTGTGCTATGCAGTCAAGTAACTTATGTACATACCTGATGTAGATGTAAGCAAAGTAGCAAAATAATTAACAGGTTGAACATCTAACTTGTAACTTTGAGGTTTCTTAATGAATAACCCATTGAGGTGAATGGTATGATTTACACTACTGACCTTTTGTTTCACACACTACAAACTCAGGAAGGTAACACTGCATTGGTGTTCATATTTAAAATTTTCAAGCTTATCTTAATTATGTTTCTAGTTCTTGCAACTATTTAAAAAAAAGTTGACTCTGGAGCACAAATCTCAAGGCTAAGATTGGCTTCTATGTAGCTGTGTTCACATTAACTGGTTGACGTGTACATATTACAATGATTGCTATCTATACACATACGTAAAATTACACAGAAAAGTTTGGTATGGTTAGCAGCTGTGTGAAGGTAACTGGCTTCTAGGTTAAAGTAGCAGTGGTGTCCTTTAATTTTTATAAATGATGATTTTTTTCAGGGAGAACGTGGCTTCTACACAAGAAGTAAATATATGTCTTTTTTCATTTCTTTTCTAGATACCTTTTATTGGAGAAAGCACCAAAACATCTTGCTGAGCGCTCACATGTTTTTAGTAGCTTCTTCTATAAGTGCCTGACCAGGAGAGAGAAAAACTCTGAGAAAGATCCAAAGCTTTCGTAAGTTCACTTCCAGATGCCATAACATTACTGTTCCAAACTAAACTATTTGTTACGTATACGCAAAGTACTGAAGGAGGCGGTCTTAATTTAGGGGTTGAGGTGGGAAGGGAGGACAGAAATGATGGGATGTCATACAACACAGATTCATAATGAAGCAGTATTCAAAGACTGGTGCTTTTCCTGGATCCCTCATACTTTCCATAAAATGTCCTTTGGCTTGTAGCATTCCAAATGCTTTTAGGTCTTCCAGATATGTTGTCAGAAACAATACAGGATAGTAGTCTTTTAATTAAAGTTTTTCTATGATTAGGGTTTGATATAAATACAAACTAATGTAGAACTGTTACTGACTCTCTTTTTATTTGAATCTGGATTTTGGGCAATTGCCTTCACTACATTTTCATTCCCGTTCTTCCGAACATTCATGCAATTGTACAGGGAAAGGGGAGGCCTTTAGGGTTTGTATTGTTCCTTTGAAGTGTAGGCTTAGCACATGTAGCACTCTTTCTTATTTATGAAGCTTATATGATGATCACAGATTGCTGTCCTGTTTTATGTAAGTGGAATGACTCATTTTGCATTGGTTGACTTCATTAGTTGTGCACCATTCTTAGGAGTCCCTGCTTGACTTCTGTGTAGTGGTATTCATTCCCAGCACCCATGGATATGGGCAAGTGTGTGGGTGGCAAGGTGGCCACTTAGTGATGGCAGAAACTGGCTGGGATGATGTAGTTGGGGATGGTCCTGCTTTGAGCAGAGGGTTGGCCTGGATGACCTCCTGAGGTCCCTTCTAGCCCTAATTTTTTATGAGACTATGCCTTCTCCCCTGTAGGTGAGTGTGCATCACAGGTACACCAAAATTGGAAGGTTTCACTAGCAGCACCAGTTGCGTTGCCACACACCCCCTTGGTAACCTTGGGCTCCTATACACATGCAGGGAGTCTGCTCCAACGCACTGTAATTCCAGTGCGTTGGAGCATGGAAAATAACGCGCTCCAGCAACCCCCAGGGTCATGAGTATCAGTGTCCCTGTGCTGAAAAATGGCAGCAGGGTGCCTTAAACTAAAGGTGGTTCAATGAGCTTGAGTTCAAAGCGCCCCACCACCATTTTTCAGCTCAGGGGCACTGATGCACATGACGCTCTGGGTGCTCTTAATTAGCATGGCTCTCACAGCTACGCTAAGCACCCCCCCCTCCAAATACTTTCTGGAGCACATGTATAAACACCCCTTGTGCCTTCAACCAAGGCTATGGAAGATGGAGTTCTCCTGTGCCTTGCTCTAATTCCTTCTTCCCACAGGATAGTCTTTTTCTGTTAACAGCTATTGCTCCCTTTTCACTATGAATAGTTAGTACTTAGGTTAAGAGGACTTTTTTTTATTCCCAAACAAATTTTTATTTTGTTACTTAGGGTCTTGGGGTGCTTCATATGAGGCCATCATATTCAGAAGGCCCACCTCTTGGGGTAGCTGTGACTACAAGCAGTGCCCATGCCTGCTACTTTATTGGCCTACAGGAAGGTCATAGAGAAAATTGAAGCACTTGTTACTCTGCCTTTGAGTTTATCTGATCTCTGAGTCTCCCTTCTTTAACTGGAGAGGGAGAATGTTTTTGCTTAGGCATAGGAAGCTGTAGAGTTGGCAACCATGTCACAGTACTTAATCCAAAGAACACACAATAATAATTGTTTTATTTTCAGGGCAGCACAGAGAAGACACAGAAGAGTAAAAACGTGGACTCGTCGTATAAACATCTTTACTAAAGATTATATCTTTGTTCCTGTGAATGAGGAGTAAGTATGACCCGCACACTTTTGAAACTGATTTGTTGAGGACCATTTTCTGGGACTTAAGAATTCATAGGCTTGAAATTTGCTCTGATTAAAAGTCTGAAATACCTGAAGGCCTGAACCATTTCCACTAAAAAAAAGAATACTGGACCAATGAACTAGTGAATACAGTAGAATCCAATTACTTATGAGCCATCAACAGTAGAAACCAATGTCACTAGAAAAGCTGGAGAATCTTGCTTCTTAGAAATGAGTGTATTTTGTGCGTATCGAGATAAAGATTCACCATTTCCAGTATATCAAGGACAACCATCACATCAGAACATTAGATAAAAGGTTATAATTGGTGCCATGATCCAAATGGGATCGTTTTTAGGTCTCGTTATCTGTCAGGACTAGAGTGCCTCTGGTTGATCAGTACAAACATTTCCAAGGACTGATTCTAACTTAACTGCTCAGGAAAAGTAGATTCTGATTTAAAAATTAAATAACGATCAGTCTTAATCATTGTGCTGAGCAAATAATTTAAAGTCCCTCAAAAATGTCATTTACAAGAAGAAGGGCATGCAAAAAGATATTTCTTTGTCTCCAATAAACTCTGTTTTGTGGACCTTTGCTTTACCAAAGCATAGATTTGATTTTAATTCTGTAAAAGTTCTCTTTGAATTTTTCTGTTCTTTCCAAGCAACTTCCTCTAGAATGTATTACATAATATTCACAGTAGCAGAGTCAGTGCTAGTGGATAGGCTTGATTCTCCATTTACTTTGGATGCATGTATCCACCATCATTCTGCATACAGAGCAGCTGCAGAATTATGTCATATAAATATCAGGTTGGGAGCATACCATATTCCAGATTTGATCTATTATTTTGTTGTCCTGTGGGGCCCGGCCAACTCTCAGGATCTTAAAATTGTGCTGTTAGACGGGAGGGTGTGACAGTTGTGTGCACGCACTCACGCACGCACGCATCAGTTAGGCGCATACACACACACTACCAACTCCGGCATATACACATCCAAGATTACCAGTCTAAGCACATGCACACCTATCACCAATTCAAGCACATACACACTATACACACCAAAAATTAGACAAAATCAGCTATTAATACACACATACCCAATACACATACACGGATCACTAATTTGTATATCATGCACACGATGATATATATATTTTCCAGTTCACACACACACCACGCACCTAAACATACACACAGGTGAGTTCCTAACTTGGGTGGTATGGTGTGTATGTGTGTGCTTGGGGTACCTAGGGTGCTTGGTGACTATGGGAGGGGGAATTGAGGGTCAAAGATTTCCTTAAGGAGGGAGATGGAGAGTGAAAGTGCCAGGAGTAAAAGTTGCTGGGGCCAGGATTAGAACCAGCAGACTGGAGGGGAAGCTGGGATTACTTAAATTCAAGTGGCCCTGGGGTTACTTGAGGTCACTGGGGCTTGGGGTTACTTAGGGTTAATGTGCCCCGGGGTTACTTGGGGTCACCTGGTGCCAGGGTAGAAGCAAGGGAAAAAGCCTGGTGGCAAGGGGGAGACAGCCAGGAAACAGACAGAAAGGTGGGAGATGGGGCTGGAAACTGAGAGGCAGAAAGCTGGGAGATAGCCGGGAAATCAAGGAGGAGGGTCGGGAGGTCAATAAGACAAAAACCCAACTCAGGGTTTCACAATAACAGGTTTATTAAACAGGCAACGCACTACACAGCCCCATGAAGCTATTGGTTCCCACATACGCGTGCACACAATTACGTACACACACACAATGGTAGCAGGAGAAAAAAAGGCTTGGTGGAGGGATTGAAGTCAAGGTGTGTAGGGACAGAGTCCAGATCCTTTGCTTGGGGAAGGAAAGTGGGTGATAGCTACCTATCCTAGGCTGTGAGATGATCCTTGATGGCCAGTCGGGGTCATCTCCAGCAAGGTGTTGTCCAGAGGGGGGTTGCCAGCAGGGCCTCTGGGTTTATAGGTGGTGTGGCGTGGTGCTGGTCCAGATGGAGGGGGCATCCCACTTGGTCTGTCTTCACTGCCCCCTTTTATAGGGGCAGACCTTCTATGACCCTAGTGGCAGGGGCATGCCCAGGCAAGGGTCAACCCCTGGTGTACTGAGCATGTGCACTCCAGGCTTGGACATGCAGTTTCAAGTGTCTGTCATGGTGGGTTGGCTGGTTTCTGCAGCAGTCTTTGTCTTCCAAATCTTGAGCCAGGGAGGGTCAATACAGGGTCATGGTTGGGTCATTTAGCTTATGGTCCAGTAATTGAGTTGATTATTCAGTAGAGGCCTGCTACCATTGTATCTCAAGCACCCTCATTCATTCCCATTCATTCAGGAACCAATTTACATGAGACTGGTTAGACATGAGTCATAGGTTATACCCGGGCAGAAGACACAAGATGGAGGCTTGACATACAAAATGGAAACTTGACATTACTTATGCTAACTTACACGTGTAGGCCTAAATCATATAGTATCAATTAAAAAAAAAAAAAGTAAAAATCGGTAAAACAGTATAAACATAATAATTATACAATATAAAACAGTGGATCAAAGAAGGAGAGAGAAAAAAAAACTTGCTACAAAAATGCTAAAGCTTATCCCATGTCTTAGCTCACTCTGTCTTAGCTTACTCATACTTATCTATAGGGAATAGAGAGGGAGAGAAAAAGTGAGAAATAGTTGGGGAAGGGAAGGAATGCATTTCAAAAGAAAAACAAAAAGAAAAACGGGGTTTTGCTACAATTTGATCCCTGCTCTTGATTGTCTGAGTAGGTGAGGGATGTTTGAAAATGAGAATCAGGCAGGAAAAATGCTTGACAAAGAATCGATGATAATTTTCTGTGCAGCTGTGGTGAGGTTCAAAAGTAGAAATATGTTATGAGGATTTGTATGTGATTGTATCCTTATAAATGAACATAGTAATGGTTGGAACTGATAAACAACTACCCTGTGTTCTCTATCACTTCACTGTTATAAAGGCTTTCTACAACTCTCTTGTATAGAATGCTGACCTTCCTGCCCTCTCCCCCCCACTTTCATTCTATGGACAGGTCTCACTGGTACCTTGCAGTTATTTGCTTTCCTGGGTTGGAAGCAGCTGTGTATGAAGATTGTCCGAACCAGTGCCTCCTACAGCCCCATATTAAGCAATCTTCACTTCATTCAAAAAAAGAGACAGAGGCTGTTAGAACCAGTAAAGTCCTGGTCTTTGGTGATAACTGCAAGGATGAAGAAGAACTGGATCTAAACAGCAGTCTGCATTTGAAAGGTAGTCATAAATAGAGATAATGGTAATGAAACTGTTACAGAGGTTCAGCCAAGAGAGAATTCTTAAAATGAGCTACATATGTTAGCAAAGAAAGTGCAATTCAGCACAAAACTTGTGTAATGGATTTTCTGGTGCAGTTGATTTTGCAGGTTACTATACATTATAAAGCTTATTCAGGAACAACATTGTGTCCTTGTACGTAAATGCAAATGGAATTTGAAATCAAAGGCATAATATGTCTACATGAATGTCACTGTACTGGGGCCTAGTTCTCATCAATGTTGATTTAAAAAGTTGATCCCCACAAAGACCAAGACATTCAAATATTGCACAATTCAAAAAGATAATACTTTCTTTTAACAACTTTTCATTTATTGTCTCATGCCAGATGGTGATCAGCAGACTACTTTGTCCTCTGCCTTGAATTCATATAATTCCAAAGTAAGTGTCTTTATATACTGGTAGAGGACTGTGAAGTCTTTATGAATCTTACTTACTTTATTATTGTTCTTTGCAAAGTAGGTTGATTGCAAAAACATGTGAATTATATGTAGTGAATAGAGAAATAACTTATATTAATACTTTTAATAGCTAAAACCTAGAACTTCTGGGGAGTTCAAAATACAGACAGGAATACCACACCGTAGTAAAGAACAAGCTTCAAGCTTTAGAAAGTTGTTCTACGAATGTTACAGAGGATGTTGATACTGAATGAGTGGCTATTAGAGATACAGAAAAGAAAGCTACCAAACAAAACAGGAAGAACTGATATAAGGATCAAGGAATGATTAGATTAAGGCTGTTGGAAAACTTTTGAGGTTTGTTGTGCAGCAACAATGTATTTACCTGTTTCCATTTAGGTTTCTTTTGGTGTCTTTGGGCAATATGCCTTGTAGTTGTGCAACAGGGTTGATTGTGTAGTTTTAGGAATAGTTTGGACAAGGAAGAACAACATGAAACAATTTTTTATATCGCAACAGCTCTGGTGGACAGGACACATAGTAAGTAGAGACCTACCTAAATTGGGTTCTTCATGGCCTGCTTGCAGCATGCAGAGCCACTTTTGTGGGCAATTCATGGTGGTCCTGCTCCTTGCTGCTGATTAACCAAGAGGTCCTGGAGGGACCTCCGCTCACCACTGGTTGGTGGACAGCTGCCCTTTATGCAGCCCCACCCCTCACTGCTGATTGATGGAGAGGCCCTGGTTGGGGAGGAGGTACAAGGAGCTAATCACCCTCTTGGCTGCTCTTGTTCATGCCACTCTGCCAACTGGTACCTTCCTCCTCCTCCATTAGGCTGTGAGGCCAGGCAGCAGTGGCCATGAGGACCGCTGGCTCCCACTGGGGACCCAGCATTTTATTTTTAGTAATTTTTTTTCCAGGTGATTCCACAGGAAATCACAGCAAATGCCATTTTTCATGGCAACTGTGGAAACCACTGTTTTTCACAGTTTCCATGAAAATCGCGAAAGCACCATTTAATTAGGTCCCTAATGCTAAGGATACCTGACATCACTCCTGAAACAGGTCCTATACTCCCGGTGGGCAAAAGAAGAAGAAATGTGACATTAATATCAGTACTTGGGTAACTTGAGCTCTGAATTGCTCCCCGTGGCACCATGATGTATGACAAGGTATTGATCATTTAGAGCAAATTCACCTCAATATAGAAGCAGCTGGCTGAGGGAGACAAAGGGAAAGAGCCAACATTACCAAGACCCACTCCTTCCCAGAACTATATGCCATGTGTGCCAGGTCAAATATGGATTTTGGATTGGCCTCTTCAGCCATCTCTGGACTCAATAATGACTCCCCTATCTAGTGGAAGACTGTCCTCATATAGAGGGACTGTCAATGACAGTAAGGAGAAAAGGACTTGTATGGGATGATTTGGATAAGGATGATCCTACTTTGAGAAGGGGGCTAGATTTAATGACCTCCAGATGTCTCTTCCAGACCTACTTTTCTACAGTTGTATGAACTGCCATCTGTCTTATATTGAGGAATATGATAAAAACCAAAAGAGGAACAAAGCATCTGATGAGTCACCACAAGAGTGTGTATATATAGGGGTTGGTGGAGAAAATGGAGCAGAATAGAAGCACTGAAAGCATGAAAGTGATTTACACAAGTATCAGTGTATTTGGGAAAAGAATACCTTATATGAATGAGTCTTGTAGATGATGGAACTTGAAGAATTTTGATTACAAGAGTTTACAGAAAGATGGAGAGAGTATTTTAGTGAACCGCTTAATGGTGGAATTGATAAAAGTGGGCAGCGAACAGCTATTTTTCCAGACACCTTAGGTCATTTGTGGAATAACCAGATTTTGAAGAGTTCTAAGAGGCAAACAGAATAGCAACTTCTCCCCATTGCTCCACACATACAAAACACCAGGTATTTGAAAATGTTCCCAATGTATTTTAAAAGCAAGAGGTGATTAGCTATGTCAAAGATTTCACAGGCTAACTGTCAGTTTAGACGTTTGAAAAAAATTGAAACAAATGAGGCATTTGCATGTCCAATTTTAGAGAGAGAGATGCACACACACATACAATGGATTGTAAAAACTCTTGTGTTATCTCATTCTTCGATATAGAATCCCTTTTTTGGTACTTTTTTATATCAACTTATCCCTTACACAGAGGAAAAAGTAGAATGTGTGTGTCCCAGAAAAAGCATCAGATATTTTGCATCAGATATTTTTAATTTGTCAAACACTTCAGAAGAGGGGATTATAACAAGAAGTCCTCTGAAACACAAAGAAATCATTTAGAATTCCTGATGTAATTACTATGATGGTACAACTGTGTTGTGGGCAGTTTAGAAATTAGAGTCCCTGGGGAGTGAAATATCTTTCCTGTTTGACATCTGGAAGGTATTATGGTAGAGAGGTACAGGTTGTAAAATATTATTTAATATGGGCACGGGTCAAGTGTAGCAGTATCAGTAACAATTTCCAGGCGAGGTGAATTTTAATGTAATGCACCATTTTTTTTGATGGCTTAATTTATTTATTTGGCTGTCATAAAGCAAAGAAGATACGGTCATTGATAAGCATCAATAACAAGTGAGGAAGTCTAAATCCTAGGAGCATTAATTATTAACGACTATTTGTTGAGGGAGAAAATTACAGTTGAGAGTGGGAATACGTCTAATTTTTCTCAGATTTTTTAGTTCCAAATAATTTTTGAGAAGAGACTGTGGTTAAAATAAATAAGGCCATTATACAAATTTTTATATAGATATACCACCAAAACATATACTGAGTAGGAAGAAATATAGAAGAATACTTTTAAAAATGAAGAATTGAGATAAGGTTTTGTGCCATTAAAGAACAATATTTTGGGAAGTTTTTAAGAAGGAACTACTGTTGGTCCTTGAAGAACAAAGTAGTGAAACGTAGAATAATGTCATTAAATTCCAGTGACTTCTGTGGACATAGCATTGTGGGTAGGGAGATGGAAGAAGGATGAGTCTCTTGTAAGGCCATTCCAGCAGTGTTTGATCTTGTGACTGACCAAGGGGAAGATGGTGGGGATAATACTGAGCAAGACCAAAGAGCTCTTAATGTAAATGACTGACAACTGATTGTTAATAGAAGGTGTTGTGGGCAGGTTGTTTGTGGACAAAGCACCCTTACAATCAGTAGAACCAAGGAAGTGTTGTTAGAGTAGTACATTTAATAGCTGGACCCTGTAAAACTTCAGTGTAGTTGAGTGTTTGTTTTCTCCACTGATGAATAAAGTATAATTTATTCATTATGAATACAATGAAGAGCAGAAAAAATATTTTTATTCAGGCTAGTAGATTTTCATGACTTTTGCAAAGTTGTAATCTCTGAATCTGAATTCATACTGTTTTTTGGTGGGATGATTGAAGTTCCTGATATTCGGGTTACTTTTCACTATAGCAGCTTCATTCTTGTCCAGCTGACCGCAAGCTGGAAGTGGTAGCTGTTGCCTTGTCTCTTAAAGATTGGTAGGGAGGCAGTAGAAATGGAAGATGCATGGAGGTAGTAGAAATGGAAGGTAAGCTGTTGAGTGAATCCACCCGGAGGAGCAAACAGCCCCTCCCCTCCCCATCCTCAAGCCCTCTCTTTCTTCTGTCCCATTTGTGACCCCTTTCCCTCTCCCCTGGGTTGCTAGGCTTTTGCTGCTGCAGTGATTAGAGGCCTTGGGAGAAAGACCTCTGCTGCTGTGATTAAACTTGATTCTAAACCTGCCCCATCAGCCAATCAGGAGGTATGTTGTCAGGGGGTGGGCAGGGGTACCACCATGTAGGCACAAAAACAGTGGGCTCTGCCACAATTGGGCCACAATATTAGTGAGCTGGGCACACAATTTACACCAGGCCATAGTTAGTTATAAGAAAGATTATGAGTTGCATTAGTGATTCCTAAATTCTTTGCACAAGCACTTTTTTGTACTTTTGAAAAGAGCCTGAGTGCTATAAATTAAGTACCTCAGAGCTTTTAACTCTATTATAGGATCATGACCTCTAGTTTGAGGACTGCTGGACTAAATTGAGAATCAATGTAATATGTGAACCAGTGCAATATATCTTGCTAGAGTAGTGGCGCTTACCCTATCCAGCCCTGCAGGCCAGATGAGTAGTTGCATCTTGTGCTTGAGGCCAGTCCGTGGGCTGGATTGCACACTGGCCAGACCCAGCTATGAAGCAGCCTCACATACTAACATGATCTAACATATAGGGTCATGTCATCTCTACATGCATCAGGAGACCCGCAGGCTATAGGTTGAGCACCACTCTTCTCAACCAGGGGTGCCCAATTCCCAACTCCTCCAGCCTGCAGGACTAACCATGGTGTGTGGGGAGCCCTGTGGAGTGTGACCCTGTGCACTTGATGAGGCACACATGGTGGGACCAGGCTTTATCCCAGCATGCAGAGAATGGCAGAGGGCGTTGGAGCCCAGTTCTAGCACATAGGGCCCTCCGGGCCCAATCCTGGCATGCAGGAGCCTCTCCAGCTCACAGACCAGCTCTGCACCCTTCATCTGGCCTGTGGGTCCAAAAATTTAAGCAGTGAGGAATAGAAGTCTTCTGAAGTCCGGCCAAGGACCTGGTCAGAACTAGCATTTGGACATAGGAACAAGGGGCCATGGCCTCTTCCTTCTTCAGGCACCAGACAATAGAAGTGACTTAATGTTGTGACTTGGAATGGGCTGGTGAGCAGAATTCAAGTTGACACTGACAGTCTTCCTTGCTAATGTTTTAGTGAAATGCATTGATGTTTATCTTGAATGTATCCTAAACATTTTGTTAGGTACAGGAAAAGCCAGGTCTTTCGGGCCCAAGTCATTTGCAACTCACTTTGCTTGCAGCAGGTTGCTGAAGGAAGGACGAGCCACTCAGCTGGATGCTGCAACTTATACTTTGAAGGCTGTCACTTACCCTCTCATCTGGAGCTTATCAGTGGGTTCCATAGAACTGATCGGATAAGCAGCACCAGGGCAAACAGTTGGAGCATCTCAGTGGTTCTATACAACCATTGCTGTGGCTACACTCGTGCCCAACTGGTTTGGGAGCCTGCATCTTTCCAGGGGAATAAGGAACCTGTGAAATTCAGATTCCACAATATTAACTTATTTCATCAGTTTTCAGTTGATGACAGTATTCAGTAATTTTGTGCCTTTTCTGGATATTGCTTGTAAATTGTAATATTTTTTTTCAGAGCTCCTTAAATGATTCCAACCCACAGAAAATTTGTAAAAGGTAGGTTTGTGCTTTCATAATGCATTAGCATTTAGATGTCTACACTCAATATATTAGGAGAATTACTTCAAGTCTTCATATCATAAAAATACCCATGAGCACACTCAGTTCAGACTTCCCCAGCTAGTCACTAATCTTCCTACTTGATATTACCACTGAAATTCAGTCACAAAGTTTTAAAACTCCTTTCTCATTCAAACTTTAATTAGACACTGCAAAATGAAATATGAGGTTGATTTTTTTTTCCTTTTCATTCTCTGCAGGCCTTGTATACTCATCTTAGATTCCTTGAAAGCAGGTTCCCTGCGTAGCACAGTTCAGATCCTGAGACAGTGAGTAACAATGGTTTGGGGTTTATTCTTTAGTTAGAAAAGGAACATTATGAAGGACATTTTAAGTCCAGCTTACAATTTGCAACTTTTCAAAGAATTTGTGTAAAACCAAAGTCCAATTGAAAAGTCTCCATGATTTATTTAAAAAAAATGAATGCATTGTTTTTTGTTCAGTCAAAAACATTTTTCTATGACATTTACAGTGTGGATGTAATAAATGGAAGTAAAACTGACAAGCCTTTTCATTGCCCATGCTAAATATAGTGCAGGGGTAGGCAACGTTTTTTGGCTGGAGTGCCAAAACCCCCCCACGATGCTTACCTTGGAAGGTGCCGGAGGGCCAGAAAAACAAAACAAGGGCAGGGGGTACATGGCAGGATGCTCTGCTTGTGCCCCTTGCCCCACACCCAAAGCCCCTGACCCCCAGCCCAGGTTCTGTGGCTATCAACAGCTACCCAGAACCTGGGCTTGCTGCAGCCAGGAGGCTTCAAACAGCTGCTGCCGCCCCAGCCCCGGCCCCTTTCCCAGCTGCTTCCCAGCCCCGGCCCCGGGGAGGCAGCAGATACCGGCGATGCTGCCCTTGCCACCGCTTCTGCAGAACAGCGCATGGAATTCAGCATGGCAGGGCACAGCGGGGGGCGCAGAAAGCTGCCTGCCTCTCCAAGCTCCCCACTGCCCTGGCCACACTTCTCCTGCAGGCGGGACAGCAGTGAGCAGCACAACCCTGCGTGCTGCCCACGGTGCTCCCATGCACACAGGGGAAGTGTGACCAGGGCAGCACGGAGCTTGCAGCAGCAGGCAGCTTCCCTGTGCAGCCCCTCTGTGCACTGCCACTCTGGGTTGCACACACTGTGCTCCTGGTCCTGCTGCCCTCTCCTGGGCCCTCCAGAGCGCATTGTGTGCAATCTGGAGCAGCAGTACACAGAGAGGCTGGTTGCAGCAGGACTTCCATCCTCCCAGCTGGTTGCTGGGAGCAGCCCAGGCTCCGTGACTACCAGCAGCTACTCAGAGCCTGGGCCAGCTGCAGCCAGAAGGCTACAAACAGCTGCTGCCTCCCTGCCCCAGCCCCAACACATGCTGAGGAAAATGGCTTCACGTGCCATGCTCAGCATGTTGCCGACCCCTGATATAGTGCATTAGGGGAAAAATTAATGGTAGAAGAAATAGCAGATTTTTCAAATTCTGTGTTTTAATAGTAGGAGTATTTTGTTAGTAACACAGATGAGAAGTTTCCTTTTTAAATCTGCAAGTGTTCTTTTTAAATGGCCAGTTTTTAAAAAGCGCTCACTTTTTTTGAGTGAATAATTGCCTTAGCGCAACATTGTATGCACAATTACATGATTATGTCCTTTTTGCAAGGAGTTGAAGTATGATACCAGATTTGGCTAGCTGAAAATTTGGCATACTGTTTTAATTGCATTAAAGCACAAATAAATAGCTTGGAAGGCAAGACTAAGAATATGTTTAGATTTTTTTTTTTATCTGTTAAGCATTGGAACGAAGTCTGCAAACTCAGTGTTCTTTATTGAAAGTACTGGGGGCTTGGAGGGGCAGAGGGAAGAATTGTATATGAGGTGATTGTGTTGAGTTGAAGTAGCTGTTTATGGCATGTTAGAATAGCAGCATTGCTACAAGTATCTCTGTAGAAGCTACAGATACAAATGACAGGGTTTTGTGTAATCTTGGATCGTGTCATTTCAACAGCAATATTGACACTGTATCTTTTCAGTAGTTTTGCACAGAACTAATTAATATAATGGCCCCCAAAATCTTTTTAAAATAGGCACCTTATTGACCGTATTAAATAGCTAGCTTGAAACTGGTTGTATTCACTTAAGCAAATAGAGCAAAAAGAAGATGACCTAGTGGCATGCACAGATTAATTCTCTGTGCAGTTTAAATCCTGGTCACACTGTTCTGGGATTGGTTCAGGGACAGTGAATTCTGTGATATCACCTTCCTGCTCTGGGCACACAAAGGACTTCCTAGATGCCAAAGATCTATTCATAGACAAGAAAAATCTTCCCACCATCAGACTCCTATTCAAGAGTAAATAGTCTGTGCTTTGGAATGCCCCTAGTCAGAGACCTCTAGGTTGTTGCTGCCAGGAGGAGTCTTCTAAGCATGTTTCTAGTAGAGCATAGCAGCAATAAGCCAGGGAGGGCCACAGGGAATTGGGAAGTAGTTTTAAATTAAATGCTCCTGCAGGGATGTGGGACCTGTGAGGTTTGAGACCTGAACACAGTACTGTGAATGGGGAGAGGCAAACCTCACTCCACATCACCAACGCTGGAGAAAATTCTTCTAAAGGAACCTTTGAACTTTCTCTTCACAGGTTCCCTTCCTGTCATGTTTCTTGTAGGAGATGGCAGTCAGGTCCACAGTAAATCAAATCCTACTTTAATCTGAACTCTGAATCCTTTCAGTTTATTGGTGTATTGCAGTTGCTGTCAGCAGGTAGCAGGGAAGCCTCCTTGTGGCTAGTCCAACACATCTGTAAATTACAACAATCCCTGAAGCATTGTGGATAAATAACAAAAGGGCTACTTGCAAGCTGTAAAGCTATAGTGTATACCATATATACTGGTATGCTACCAACATGAAGTTAATGTAAATTCTGTTAGTTTTATGGTTAACATAGCAAGATGCTGGTTTTCTCATGATGAAAGGCCTGACAGCATGAACCAAATTCAAAATTTGCATGATAATCATACAGGATGATTATAGTTCCTTGAGGTGTATGGGTTTAAGAAGTTCCAAAGTGTCTTAATGGCTTCACTAACCATTGTACAGGGAGCTGATCAGAGTTGCCTTTTCCATAAGACTACAACTACCATGGCTATCTCAAACATTATGGAAAGTACAGGTGTCAAACTCGCTTGGGGTCCTGAGCTGGATCTGGCCTGGGGAAACAGGGTGGCCACCACAGTTGCAATGGCTGCAGCAGTGATGGCAGCTATGGTGGTGGCATTTGTGGCAAACAGCTATGGGCTAGTTGGGTACTTGCTCTGGCGGAAGGGTGCAAGCAGCAGCAGGCCCCAGGGTGTCTGTACACAGGTTGGATGCCTGCTCTGACGCGTTCTAATTAGAATGCTCCAGCAGCCTCGCCATCACGTGTATTCAGCATCCCCACATTTCAAAATGGCAGCAGGGGCACTTTAACTAAACCTTGTCGAGCGGGCTTTAGTTAAAGCGTGGGACGCTGAATACAGAAGACACTGTGGGCATTTTAATTAGAGCAGTTCCTGTGAGCTACTCTAATTAAAACACCATCCCCTACCCCTACTCTGGAACACGTGTATAGATGTCCCAAGAGATCACAGGGTCTCCTAGGCTTCTGTTGCGCTGCGCAGCCCCATGGTCTCAATGGCCATGTCTACTGGGGCCACAGGACCCCACATTCTTCAGTAGGCCATGCCCACAGCTTACCACACCCTGACTTCTGGTTGCCTCTTGGTGTTGATGAGGCAGCTCCATGGGCCGGATCCAACCCACAGATCATATATGTGACATGCCTAATGTAAATGATTTGGTAGGGACATCCATGGATATGATGTACTTTATTTACCTGCATGCTGGACAAGTACATAATTTGCTTAACTCTGTTACACAGAGCTGGTTCCTGTTTGTTGCACGTGGCTCATAGTTAACAAACTCCATTCATCTGCATATTGATTAAATGCACAGACTGCTTAAATTCATGATTTTTCAGTATCTTAGTAACTTAACTGCACTCCATTAACAAGCTAACTGTAATGGTAACTATTTTGTACTAATTATACTCCATATAACTGCACCAGAAACAGAGAAGGGGAAGTAGCCATCAAAAGTCTTTTAAATGAAGGAAGCTAGTCAGTTTAGGACTGCCAGTACCACAGTATTAACAGTGCTGTATATTATTTAATGAGTTTAAGTTCAAATAAGTGTATGCCCTAGGTGAGCATATAGTGTTTTCAGTTGGAAAGTTACACACTTAAATGGAGTATAATCTATAACAAAATACTGCACCATTAGAAAATTTGTGATGTTTTCCTAGTTCTAGGAAAGTGCTGAGTAATACCCTCAAAAGGATTGAATGAGATAATTATTATGTGAATATTTTATCTAACCTGTTTTCATTTTAGGTACCTGGAAATAGAATGGGAAGTTAAACGAAAAACCCACCGGGAGTTCGGCAAATCAACAATGATTGATTTCTGTCCTAGAGTCCCGAAACAGGATAACAGCAGTGATTGTGGGGTATATTTACTGCAGTATGTGGAAGCCTTTTTCCAGGTACAGTATGGAAACAATTATGTCACTCTGAGTGAAATCCTCAAATGTCTCTGAAAGCTGTAATTATCAGGGTTAATGCATTATTCTCTTTGAGTAAGCAAAGAGAAAATCCATTCTTAACCTAAGAACAGATCTTTTTGGAGCTAGGCTCTAGGCAGCCTACCTCCTACCTCTCTCTTTGTAGAGGTTTCTGGCTGTGACACTGTGGTTTTTCCCCTGGCTTGCCTGAAGATTCCTAGCTGTTCTGACATGTTTGGAGCCTACGCATAGCACTTATTCTTCTTGTATTTCTCACCTAGAGACTTTTACATATAAACTCATGGGTGGCGCCTTAGCCCTCGGACAAGTCTTTGTGCAGAGAAACATATGCTGCTGCATAGGCATGAACTGAAGTTCAGTATAATTCTTTCTGAACAGCTAATTTTCTAGTAATTTCATCAGGTGCTTTTCTTATACTCTTTTATCTTTTTTTTTCCCCCTCGTTAAAATGTAACACTTGGATATCACAGTTTCCTTCTAGTGGATGATAAAGAAGGTAATTAAAGTTGCGTTCCGCACCACCCCCCAGCCTCTGATCCTGGGTTTGTGGCAGCTAATTTGTGGCCTCCAGGGAACCCTAGGTGATTAGGGCCAGCTGTTCTCACTGCACTCTATGTATTCTCCATTTCTGCAAGTGGACTGTGGAGCATTGGGCACAGTACCAGTGCAGGCAATCTATCCCAAGCATGGTTTCTGGTGCTACAGGGCAAAAAGTCTTACCCTTATCCTACAGTCTCTCCCACTGGTGTCCTTCTGAACTCAGAGTCATTCTTATTTCTTCACCAGCCAAGAATCCAACAGGGGAGACAGACGGGCTTATTATGCTAGTTCTTCTTCATCATGCAGTTTCCACAACTTTTGAGAACCCATATGTGACAAACTTCATTTACAGCAAAAGATTTGAAAATGCTGTCCATTCTCAGCAGTGACACACTTTGGAGGTTGTGTGGGAAAGCTGATATTTGAGTGAAGATCTCTTTACAGATCCTTGCTATAAACTTTTCTCTTTCTGTCACCAGAATCCTATCATTAACTTTGAGCAGCCCATGCACTTGGAGCGTTGGTTCCCTCGTCGGGTGGTGAAAAACAAAAGGGAAGAAATTCAAGATCTCATCTTGCAATTGCACTTGCAACAGCAAGGTGGCAGCAGCAGCTAAAGAATCTGCTCCGGCAAACCTGGAAGAGACATTTCTGTACAGTGTGACTGGAAAACTGCTTAGCAGCACCTGGGCTGTGCCTGCTTTGCAAAAAAGGAAAACCACATAGTATTTTTGTTTGTCTGTTGGTAAATTTGTTCCAGGACTTTTTGTTTGAATTGTAGGATGTGGGTTGAAGCTTTATAGATACAGTGTAAATATGTAATTTAAAATTAACAAATATTCACCTAAGTGAATTTTTATTTGGAATATGGGAACAGCATAGAGGTATGTGCCACAAAGATGGGAAAGTTCTTTAATCCTGTAGAGGCTGTTCCTCACTGTTGTGTGCACATGCACACAACTCAGATTTGAGTGAACATATAGTCATCATGCTTGGTGAGAAGATCTCATCCCTATGTTGTAATGCTCTGCCTTGCAGTTCTCATATATAGTATGAATACCATGTATTTCTTTATTTTAAGAATATAGTTATGAATCTCTTTAGAGATATCTCTTTTGATATATTTTTATTATTATTTGTTTATAATTTGTGACATGAATAGCTGCAGCTGCATGCGCGTCAGCCTGTTGAGAGTTGAGCTTGCTGTTTTAGTGTTTCCGTCATAAAACTTAACTTATAAGGAAACTGAAAGCATTTGCTTCAGGATAAAGCTTGAAGTCTTTGCAGTTGAAACATGGACTTTTCTTGAATTTTCAAATATAGTTTTTCTTAACCACAGGTTGGAAAAAGGTTGTGCTTTTAAATTATAGATGTATCCTGGTGCAGTAAACCCTACCTGCCTGACTTGTATGTCTTTGATGCGATGAGACTTCTATCCATAAGGCAATCAGGTGTTGGTCTCAAATTGTTTTTAGGTGCTTTAATGAGAACTGTATGCACATGCCTTTACTCCAAAGGCCTGCTGTATTCAGAGTTGTAATGTGTGTTAAGAACCTGCGTAGGTATTTTGGGCCCAAGCTGGCAAACAAGTAAGTCTATGTTTAGTAGTTTTACTTATTGGAGTTTTACTTAGTCATGTTGAATCACACTGAGTAAAAGTATTGGAGGTTTGGATTGGGCCTTTTATGTGATAAGCTAACAAGTGATTGGCTAAATGGATATTTATGCCATTTTCAAGGAGAAACTAGCCCCAGAAAGTTTTAATAACCCTTTAATACATGGTCACCTAGAGTGCTTTCCCCTGTTCTCCATTGTAAAGAAGTACATTTTGCAGTTGCCTTTGAAAGGACTACATTTTAATCACAGCTGTAAAGTGACATTTCAGCTTTCAAAGCTGAAAGTGAATGGCAGAGCTAAAATGAAAGTTTAAGGGAGGTCCAGAAGGGTGACAGATAGTCCCAGTAGCCAGATTCAGGAACAGATCTTCAGCTGGTATATGGCACTACAATGCCATTCTCTTAATTAGAGCAGCAGGAGGAGTTGGTCACTGCTGTTCATTTTTTTCACTTAGCATTATTATTCACACCATGAGTTGCCTTACAGAGGGAAGAAAAAACATTTCAAAATAGGCTTATTAGCTGGCTGAGGGCTGTTACCTTCTACCTGCCTGCAGTTAGCTTAACTGAAGCAGTCAATACACATTTCAGAGCATAACTCCACTTTCATTTTAGTTTCTTTTGACCATTGAGCAACTTTTTTTAGTTTCATAGATCATCACTCTTAGCCTCCATAAGCCTGTGTGGCTTTTGTCTCCCTAGCCATCGCATCAACATTACTATAGACCTAAGGGATTTTTTGTTTATTTATTGTTCAGATGGATAAAAGATTAAGTAAAGATATGTGAATCGTACTTGTATACTATGCCTTCTCAACTGATACATATTTTTCCTGGTGATCCTATTAAAATTATAAATACATTTTTTCCTGCATTACTAATTGATTCCCACCGTAAAATAATATTTGTGCTTCTTTAGATTGATGTGTTTGTACACTTTTTCAAAGGTAATCTAGTCTTTTTTATTAACCAGCTTTTATAACACCACCTTATGAGACCTTTATAGATTAGCGATGGAAATGTGTAATGGGAATGCCAGTGTGTTTGAAATTAAAAGGCTTTAAAAGTTGTGGACTTGATTGTTCCCTTTCAGTTTTGCTGTAGAGCCAGTGAATTAACTGTAAGCAAGGAGAGCTTTTCACTTTTAATTCACGTTCCCAGTACATACCTATTAATAACCCCAGTACTGGGGTTATCTAATTCATTTTGAACAAAGCTGTTGTAGTTGTGCTTGAGTCCTTAAAAAGGCATTTGAAAAGTTCACAGTTACTTGCTTGAAAAGGCATCATATTATTTTTAAGACGGACTTTTGGGGCCGCCAAAGCTGCTTTCTGCCAGCCAGGGGGCACAGTGCAGTTTTCAAAGCTGACTTGAGTGATTAGCTGAGGTGTCACTGCATCCCTGTACCTCCTTCTCATGTGATGGATGTACAGGGTTACAGAGAGCACTATCCTTTGGCTATATCCCTGCTTTCTGCAGTCACCCTTTACGGACCACTGCACACAGCAGAAATTAGAGCTTCCCTGAGAATGCTCTAACTTACCTTGTAGGTCAAACTGGTAAGCCACTTATGCCCATACAGGTCCTACCCCCTCCATGTCCAATGCCAAGCACAGGTTTAGCAGATATGCACCCTGAAGTCTAATGCTAGTTTAAAGAGTACAGTTATTGCAAAATGTTATACTCTGAACATATAACATTGGCACCAGGGTGCTTCACTAGGTTTTAGAAATTCATGCTATATACAAAGTGTAGCTGCTTTTAAACCAAGAATCACCAAACTTCGGCTATGCTGGGCCAGCAGTGAGAACAGATTTCAGAAAAGATCAGTGGTGTCTTCTGAGAAGGTTTTAACACCAATTGCAGAAGCTGACAAGAGCAACCCAGCGGAACCAGCCCTTGGAAGGCATCAAAAGACTGACATTGACAAAATCAAGTGGGAGTTAAATGTCTGTGGCCTGATGAGTTTGTCAACTGGCCTGGAGAATGTAAACCTGCTGTGCCCTCTCTTGGGCCTACCCAAGACTGAATTTCTGGGCCTTGACCTTGAAATGGGCTCATTCCAGTGGACAGGTACTATACTGTACAAGGAAGAAGGAGAGAGAGGGGGACATGGGTGCACGGGACAGAAGCAGACCAGCATAATTCTCATCTTAATTGTGGCAGGAGGATAGATGCTGGTTCACATACCCAAGGACCAAACACCTTATGTTTCTATGTTTACACTCAGTAGCCTAGATTGGAACAAAGACTTTACAAGGGTTCATAGAAAATGTTCCCAAATGAAACTAATTAACTGCTGAAAATGCCATTCAAGGTGAACATGCAGGTGTCATGGTTTAGTTTGTGTTTGTTTATTGAAAATGATAAACAGATCAACAATTTTAAAGAAAAGAAAGACTCAACATTAGGCTTGTCCATTGGAATCCTTTTTGGTGAGCTACATTTTGAAAGGTTAGATTTATCTAGTTGACTTTCATTTCCCAGTTACTTTTTCTTAATTAAAATGTTTACAATAATATATGACTGAGAGTGATTAAGATGTAGCATAAAGCATGTAGGCCTATAATAGTGGTAGCCTGAGCATCCCCAATCTCATCTAATATCAGTTGAGTGGTCCTAGTGCTGACTAGTGCTTGGGCAGGAAACCATCAGGCAATCTCTGGTGCTACATGCACAAGGTAAGGAAGCATTGCTGAATGCTTGGCAAATGCTAAACTACAGAAATGGAAGTGTGGAAAGACTTTATTTGCTCCTCCCTCCCCTGACCCCCCTTGTTGCTAAACTTGTAAGAGCCTAAATAAATAAAAAGTTTGTTTAGTGGCTGATTACCAAGACTTTTACCAACAAGTTAAGACGCTGACAGAAATGGGAGAAGAGAAGGAGCAGAAACTCAGGTCTTAGAATTGTTAATTGACTTGGATGTATATTTTGCTTGTTTCTGTTCTGATACTTGATGATCTCTTTTACTCCACAGAAATTGTAGCTGAAACTTTTCTATACCTTCTTTGTATTTTTAAGGCTGAAAGTAAGAATTTTTGTTTTGTGTCTATAATAAAATATATATATATTTAATACTATGTTTGCATTTAAGGTTATACATTCAACAGGTTTCTGGTATACGCCAAAAAAAATTATACACAGCACACACACACTTCATTAAAATAGTACACGTCAGAAGTCTTGCCAATTCAACTAATTGTTCCCTTTCTAATTATTTCTGCTACTCTTATCCTAAGTGGTTTGGCTGGAAATGGCTCAGGGAATTTTTTTTTTCTGACCCTGAAAGTTTTAGGAGTGAAATACTGATATTTACACAATGTTCTTCTCAGAATATCTTTAATCATGTTTACTGCTAAGATAGAGTATCTATATGGTTATGGTAAAATCAAAGAATAACAACTAAAAATATCACCTTTATAAAATACGGTAAGTTACTTAGTTAAGCAGCGATAACCAGGGTCCACTTTAGCTGTAGTCTCCAATCACAAATAACACCATTTTATACTGTTCTATACTAGTTTTATACATTTGGCCTGCCTTATTAAGTCTTTAAATATGTATCAAGGACAAAAGCAAGACATGAAGCTAAAACATGCTAGATCTAAAACATAGTCAATGGTATTTGTTTCTTTTTCAAGGAGACCTCAAAACAATCCTGAATTTATGCTTCCCTAAAACCTATACTTCCTTTTGCTTCACATAATGTTAAATAATTAATAATATTTTTGCCTTTATTATTTGTGATTGCCATTACAATTCTTTACAATTTACAATTGCTATATTCTGTAAGCAGCTGAGTTTTTCTTAAGATCTTGGGAAACAACAATCTTGTATTCTTTGACCAGGACTAGAAGGTTGAGGTAATGCATTCACTAGATGGTTGCGTACATAAAGATGACCCTTCCCTCCCCTCTCCTCCCCCACACGAAAACATCCCTCCCTCTGAACTTCTTATTTAAGGATTTAAAGTTTAATGAAAGTAAATATGCTTTTTTTTTTAAAAATTTGAGGTGCCATCTGAATCTTGTCCCATAAAACCTCCTGGACTGATGCTTACTATAGATCTTTTCAGCATGAATGTAATTTTTATAATCAAGTTTGTTTAAGCTGTCGTGCCTTTCAAACTGCACAATAGTGCTTGAGAGAGATTCGTTTTTTCAAATTATTGGTTGCTCTGCCTGTGGTAAAATACTTTAAAATGATGGTTAATGTGTTTTCAGTAATGCATGTTGTTGCAATAACTATTTGGAGCCAGGTCTTCATTTGGTGTAAATTGGCGTTATAAGAAGTTTGCTGACTTGCCTGCTGAGGATCTGCACTTTCAAACTATTGGCATGAGGTGTTTAATAACCTGGCACTATAGTATGTCCCCCCAACCTTGCTCAAACCTTACCCGTGCCAAAATTGAGAAAAGTGTAGGATATCTTGGAAGATTTAATTTGTGGAGAACTCTGGGTCTTTGTGTCACCCACGTGTAAAGTGCAGTCACAGTAGGGATTGTGCAAGTAAGTCTCATATGGGAAATGAGGATTTATATGTCTAATCAGATCAGTGGTCCATCTAGTCTGCTTTTGTCTTTTGACAATAGTGTCATCTAATTTTGGGAGACAATGTCACAATGAATCTAACACATCTCACTGCTAAGAAATATTTTCTAGTTTTCCCTTTGTTTTAATTAATCTGTTTACTTCTAGTTATAGGCTTTGGTGTATTGCCCAGAGCACTTCCCTTCCTTGAAGTATATGAAGGTTTATAGAAGGGGTTACATTTGTAACCTTCAGTCTTCATTTGGTCAACATTTTATATGTGCTCAGAGTTTTTCTGTGATACTTCTATTTTCCTTACATTTTTGTTCTAGCCCTGAGTCATTTTTGTCACAGATTTTTTTTTCTTTGGTAGCCAGCTCTTTAAATGATTGCCTTCTGGGCCTGTTCCCTTTACCATATTCTGCTTTTGTCTATATTATTAATGTTTTTAAGGCAGTTTCTCCAATTTGTTCACAATGCAAACTTTATTCTCGTAGTTTGATAGTTTATAGATTCATCTCCCGTTCCATTTGCAATCATGCAAAGGGCCTTCTGTTCAGGACTGCATAATATCCTTGTAATAAACACATTTGTTTAATGAAAAAGTAACCTTCCTAAACTAAGGAGCACCTTTTAGTTTTGTTTTTTTTTACTGCAGTGTAACAGTTTTAAATGAGAGAGTCCTCTGTGGAACAAGCCAGCGGAGGCAGATCTCCAGCAAATATAACAGTCCATGGTTTGGAAACCTATGCATTATGGGAAATCTTTGATTACTGATTACTGTTGTTACAATCTGAATGAATTTGCTAACTTGGTAAGGCATCATGACTTTATCACTTCTGTGCTAAGCTTCCATCCCACAAAGCAAGAATCCTGAGATCGATTCTGTTGTTGCACCATTGTCATTGTATCTTGCAAAGGGAGAGCCCCGTTTGCCTTATTGTGTGTTCTTAACACACCTGCAGTCATTCACTTACTAACTGAACAGTTGTTTAGAGTTGGTATCTGTACAGGTGTATTGTTTTTATAGCTCATGTTGGATGAGGTTTAACTAGGGGTGAAAGAGAGCCAGACACTTCTCTGGGAGGGGGAGTAGCCATTCTGATTATGCAAAGGACAGTGTTACAACAACACAAGGTTCTCTGCATTAGTCTAATCTCGAACTGCAGTGCTTTGTTAGTACAGCCAGTTTAAGAAATAAGAGAGCAAAGAAACATTGCTTTGGTGCTACTTATGTGGGTGTGATGATCTAAGCCAATCATCCTGTTCTTGTAAACCTCAAATATTTTAACTACGTGTGCAGAAGAGAAGCAAAGATGCTTGTAAGGAAGATCATGGGGAATGTAGATATTAACTTGAAGTTATAGTTTGGCCAGCATGTTTAAAAAAAAATAAAAAGGAGAGGAAATTGAGCCAATGAAAAATGTTCTTAATTAAGTGTGAAAGGTACTGTCCTTGTTCAGACTGCCCGTTAACGGTGTGACAAGCTCTGGTAAAGAGCTTAGCTGACCAGATTAAAATTAAAAAATTGTCTCCTCAGTCCATCTGCTAACTCCAAGGAGCTTTCTTTTTCAGCACCTTTGGTTGTTTCTGAAATGAAGGGGAATGCTTTCTTTGAAAAGAAGATCATCTCTGGGACATTTTGGCTGACTTTTATTTTTTAAAAAATACTAACCCTTTTATCAAAAGCAATTACATGTGACATCAGAATATTTTCAAGAAGGGAATGCTCTTGAATGTTTCAGAACGGGTTCAAAGCAACTTGCTCTGTTAAAAGAGAATTTTTATTAATGCCTCGCTTTTTGGGTTTTTTAGTCAAAATAACTATGCTCAGCTTTCCATGGAAAATCCATCTAGGTGTTTTGCTCTTTGTACTGATTGGAGGAGATCGTCAGGTATTTACAGGTAACACAAAACTCTTATCTGCATTTTTCTAGTCTGTTTTCAGTGGTTTATATAAATAGATGAAAATGAAAATAGGTTTCTGCTTTTAATTAGGGAAAATGAAAGTATAGTAATGTGGAGAGCTGTTGTGTCATATTCTATACCATTATAGCAGTGCAGATCTGGGGTGATTTTATTGGTTTCAAGGGGAACGTTGTAGTTTTATGTTGTTTTAACTGAGTACAATCTAGCCACAGGTTAAGTTTTCAGATGTAATCTTTCCCAGGTGGTAAGAGACATGAAATGTCACTAAAAGGGCTTTTATTTTTTTTGCATGTTGCTTTTTTTCTTAATAGCTTACAATGCAAAGATTATAAGGAATGGTTTTGTTTGTTCCAGATGGTATTGAAGATACGGTAGTATCAGTAAGAGTAGGTTTTTATCACAGTTGTCTTATTCAATATTGTCTTTTCCTCCTACATGTTACATACGATGTGGCTGTGGCCTTCCATCAGCCATGGCTGCATGTTGGTGGGGTATATGTACAATAGGTACAATTCAATCCTATCCTTATTGAAGTCAGCTTCTATTGTCTTTAATGACAGAACTAAGATGATAGTTTGGAAAGCTTCTGGAAACAAAAAGTACTATAGAAATAAATAAAACCACAGTTCCTGTGTGAATGATTATGGTCTACTGCCATTCTTCTTCACTATCTAATCCAAAATGAGCTTATTTCTCTTTAAGATAGAGAGCTCTGCTGACAAACTGAGCAGGCATAGCTCTCTGAAATCATTAACTATTTTTCTGAGGGAGGGGAACAGCTGAAAAAACCTTTCAGTTTTGTAGGAGCGAAGTTTTGTAGGAAAGTAGTTCTCTATCGGAGAACACCAGTTAGCCTTACATTAATCAGTTTCTTCCCTTATTGTAGTTCTGATCTTGCAAGCCTATAAGCATTTGCCAGGTTGCATTTGTAATTCATTTGACTTCATGTGTAAGGTTAAATGCATGCATTAATATTTACAGGACCATAGCCTTCATGCCTCTTGTCCTTTGTAAGGATGCTTCAGAGAAGCTAACAATTCTCAAAATAAAAAAGAACCTGATCAAGCCATTGTGACAGAGGTTGGGGCAGAAGGCTTGTTAATGGAAAAACAAAGCTGGCATCCCTGTGCTCAATAGGGATAGCTTTTTGTGGCTCTGTGGCCTCTCAGAAGTAAATTAGAAGTGGTCTGTCCAGGTGCAAAGAGGAGCAGGGTTGGGACAGTAGTCTGAGGGACACTTACAGTGCTTAGGCTTGCCCTGTCTTGTGTGTCAAGAAAGGTTTTGAACTCCAAGATAGTTGATGCATCATATTCCATACTGTCAGTGCTAAATTCACAAGCTTGGTGTACATTCAAACCATTGAACAGTTTTGTTTTTGAAGGTGAAATATTGAGGTCATCTTGAATTAAGCTTTTGCTATGTGTTTGTATGAGACCAATTGCTGGATGACCCAAACATACATTCCCTTGATCAGAGGGAGGTTTGCCAAGCAGCTGAAATCGGTGAGAGAGACAGATGCAACTTCCTCTGTAAATAGCAAGGTGCACCTGAGAAGAGAATTTGGCCCCTTTAAAAAAAAAAAAAAAAAAAAAAAACGTGGCCTTTTTGTCCAAATCCTAAGGTCCTTAGTTAAAACTTCGCTCAGGAGTCAATTGATGGCTTAGAGTCAATGACGGCTGATTGTATTGCCCAGAGATCAGGATGTTGTAACCATCTCAGTTGCAATGCTTACATAGGATTTAATTTTTCAGCAGAAGCTTATCCAACTGCAGAAAAAGCCCAAGTAAAGGATGCTGCACCAACACCTCAGAGCAATGGCTGGCGATTAGGAAGTCCCTCCCTGTCCCCTGAGTCTAAAAGACTTGCTGACTTCTCAGAAATGGAACAACTCAACCGACATTCACTGCTTCGAAGGAAGAGGTCCATCATGTTTCCCAGTGGAGTTAAAATATGTCCTGATGAGACAGTTGAGGAAGCTATTGCCAACCATCTAAAATACTTCAGACTCAGAGGTAAGTCAGCACAGAGAAGCTGTGACACTGCTATGAAGCATTGCTTTTGGTAATCAGGGGTTACAACTGTCAGATGCTTAATGGATAATAAATTAAGGCTGAGCTAACAACCACATGCAAACTAAAAACATTTCTCCTGTAAATATCTCAGTCCCTGAGTTCTTCCATGTGTGCTTGGATAGCCAATTTTTTGAAGGGCCTGAAGAACAACCATTCTGCACAGGTTTGGCTAGATGGTGAATCCTGTAGCTTGTCTTAAATATTTTTTGTACTGACAGAATGGAGAGAGGCATTAAAATGTGTATGAAATAGAATGAACAGAGAGATCTTTAATCAGTTGAGCTATAGACATCATGTCTTGAATATGGTACATTTGATCATTGCTGTTTGTTCAAACTGCTATCTCTGTTTTTTGGGGTGCCAGGTCATAAAGTGGCAATAACACTGGAAGTATTTGTTTAAAATGGATGTTCAAGACTCTGATGAAAACTACTGTCTCTCAATAAAGTTTCTGGGGCCAAGGCATGTGCCAAAGTTCCTGCATGAGACGCACAAAAACACAAATGGCGTCTCTGAGTCTGTGAACAATGGTGTGCTGATTTCTGTAGCATAAATAAAATAGTCTGTCCATTCAGATCATGCTATGGTATTGCTACTGTAAGAAATTCAGATTAGGGTACATGAGTTTCCTTCTTGCTTACATCTGGGTCTGAAAGCTGTCTTCTTTTAAAGAGGAAGGAAGGAAGCTTCTTTAGGGATTTCTATATCTTTACTTTTTATTTTATTCCCTTTATTTTTCTGTGCTCTGCCATAGCAGTCCCTTTCCAAAAAAGCTATGTATGCAGCTAGGACACTTAATGCTTACTTGTTAATTCACAAAGACAGGTTTAGGGGTCATGGCCAATACATACTTCTTGTGACCAGCTTCCCCTAATAATATCTGACCTGAATTCAATACAAATTTCACAGGTAACCTGGAAAGAAGACCTTGACTTTTCAAGGTCTTTGTCCTTGTCCAAAGTTCATTGTAGTCAGTGAGTTTTTGCTCTGACTTTGAGTGTCATTGGTAGGGATCCTACATAGTGGTTTTGCAGATTTCCTGGAAAAAGCAAAATCCAGGATTGTCTGTGATATTTGCAAGATCACCAACAACAACTGAAAAATTAATAAACATAAAATACTAGCTTCCCAGTGGGAGCCAGTTATTCTTGCTGCTGGAAGGGGAAGGTACTGGCTGGTGGGGTGGCACGAAGGGCAGCAGGCAAAATGGTGGCTGCCTCCTTATCCCTCCTCGCCCCCCAGGGCCTCTCTGCCAATCACTGCTGGGGGGGCAGGGCCACTGTGAAATAACTGCAGAATTAGAGCTTTAGGCTGTGATCAACCCACAAAAATTAGTAAGTCCCCTTGTGATTTTAGGTAGACTCCTACTCATTGGACAGGCCTTTTCTGCATAAGGGGCATTCTTCTGCTCCGTCTGTGAAATAGGAAAGTTCCTGTTGTTGCTCTAGGAGGAAGAGCAGGATCTAGAGCTGTTGTGTGCGCCCAGGTTTATGAATTTTTGGTGTACATCCATCCAAAGCTGTTTACTGGGTTTCTTAAAAATGAATTGCATTTGTATTTTCTAATTATTATCTTGGATAAATCACATGATGCTCACTGCCTGCAATAAAAGCCAGCAACAACAGAGGGAAAATTCCCTTATTATAGCATAACTGTGCATTTAAAAAAAAAAAAAACTTTACTAAAAAATAGTGTGACCCAGGTTGAGTTCACAGTATCTGGATCTGCTTTAAAAGGAAACAAGTGGGAGTCTACTTATTTATCTGTGGCTCCTGACTTGACTAGCTTCTTTAAGTTTTCTCGGTCCTATGAGGTTATGTCCACTTGAATTAGACTGACTTATAGGCATTTTTATCATAGGCTATAAAATGAGTGCTTCTTTCTTGAGGCTGTATAACTGCACGGATATTTTTAAAGCAAAATTTCTCCGTTATTTTTCATGAGGAAGTGCACAGCATATGACATTTAATGTGAGAGCTGGTAAACTGAGGAACCATCATGCAGCTACAGAACACCACCAGGTGCTAGAATGTACAAATAAACAGGAAAATTGAAAATTGAAAGGTGCACCCACAAAACCAGAATTCTTTTTACTTAAATAAAATATTGTCTTTCATGATTCCAAATTTATTATAGAGTTGTAGCAGCAGTTAGAGGTCCCAACTAAGACTGTATTATCTAAGTTATTGTACTAGGTGCTTTTCAACTCCTCAGCAAGAGCCAGTCATTGCCCCAAGGCTCTTATAATCTCAAAAGATAAGTTACACAGTGGGAGAGAGGCACATACAAATGAAGGGACTCTTTCAAGGTCACATAGCAGATCAGTGACAGGGCCAGAAGAAATCTATCCCAGTTCTTCTGAGGCAGTCAATTATCATACATCTAAATTGCAAAGTGGCTTATGTCATTGTGAACATTAAGTAATAGGTTAGCATTAACAACACCATCTGACCAACCATTGGACATGTTATTTCACATCACTATTGAGAAACCTGCATTGCTGCTCCTCCTGCAGTACCTCTAGGGTACATATAGAGAGAGATTCTGCCATTGGTTCATCAGTAGTGTATTTCCTTATTTCTCTCTTTGGGATGTTTGAGATTTGCATTTCTTTGTGCATTTCCCTCTTGTACAGAGCCAAACACAATCTGGCCCTATATTATCATGGAAAAGTAACAGTTTATTCCCATGGATGGACACTTCTTTTAATGTGAATATGCCAGTGGCTAAGGTGGGTAGAATCTTCCTGTCAAGATGGTGTTCACAAGCCTGTGCTTAAGGTACATTGTCCCAAATATGGCTCACACATTAAGGGGTTAGGCTATGTTTTGGTATAAAAGTTCATACTGTAGCTTTAGATGGAAGCTATTTTCATTGTAGTGCATAGGGAAGAAAGAAAAGTATCTCTTAGGGGGAATGAATCCAAACAGTATTCTGTGTCTATGGCCAGTAGCTTTGGTTATCTCAGGGATAGGACTGAGCTATAAACATTTGGATCTGGATCTCAATCTCCTTAGTTCCCCAGTTCTCAGTTCCAGGGCTTTCTGTAACAGATGCTGAAAAAGTTGATTTAAGATTTGGATTTTGAAAAACCTTCCCCCTCATTATTTGGCATACGCAAGTGGGTAATTTTGAGTTGGGACCCCGGGATGAAGGAATGTAATGATGAAATTACTTCAAAACTGCTACTCATTATTGAACCAAAAGCATAATAGCATTATTGGTGTGGACACAGGTATATTTGAAACCTTTTCAAAGGGGGAACATTTCAAAATCATAGCAGTTGTTATGTGTGAAAGAGCTGAGAATAATACAAATGTAGCAAAACCACCACTACTTCATCTCTGGTCAACATTTTGCTACATAAGAGTGTTACAACTATTGCTTTTTTGAAACAAATCCTCTTTTTTTTTTTCAAAGGACTCCAAATATACCTGTGTCTGCTTCTGCTGAGCCTGTCTGATGACTCTCCCAATCAGAATTAAGACTGAAGTTTCAATGGGATAACTCAAACCTTAGCTAAAGATGGACAGGAGTAGGTTTTAAAAAGCAAGTCAGCCTTACTGAAAAATAATACTGTCTAGCACTTATCTGGCTAATCATTTGCTAAATCAAATGTCACAAAAGGTATTTCAGCCAAACATAGAATGCTAATTAATTTAGTAAATAAATTGATGCATGTTTTACTTTGACTGCATTCTGTTCCTCATGGTTTTCCCCAAGAAATTTTTTGTGCTCGCTTTTTACACAAACCACCATCTTTTGGGTTGGTGATGGAACCACTCAGTCAGCCTCCCCTTCACCTTAGGTCTTAGGCCTCAGCATGTGCTGCAAAAACTTTCCCCCAAGAGATGTACCTTAACACCGACGGACACGCCATTTGGTTACAGTGCAGAAGTAGGTGTGTTCTCAACTTAGATGAGGGAACTGGAGAGAACTAACTTGGTTTGAAAAAGCAATAAAAACAGGGCAACTTGGGTTTTATTTTTATCTTGGGTGAGCCTATAGGGCAGGGGTGGGGAAATGTTTTGGCAAGCCATCAGGGGCCACATGGGTAGCCCCACCCCTTAACAGGTGCCCCACCCCCCTGGTTGCCATCTTGGGACCAGAAGTCCCACCCCCTAACCGCTGACCTTTGCCACTGGAAGCCCCTCTCCTTGCCCCCCGGAATTACTTCTAACAGCAAGGGGTTTTTCTGAACCAGAAAAATGCTAAATTATATTCTAAAAATCAAACGTATTACAGCATTCATTAATTTAATTTCAAACAATGTTTTTGTCCTGATTTACATGTTTCTGTAGTATAATTAGAAATGATATTTTAAGCTATTATACCACCATCTTTTGGGCTGGTGATGGAACCACTCAGTCAGCCTCCCCTTCACCTTAGGTCTTAGGCCTCCGCCAGCAGAGCCCAGAGTGGGGCGGCAGGAGTGCAGGGTCCAGGCTGGCAGAGGCTCTGTGGAGCTGGGCTGCGCTGCTCAAGCAGGGAGAGGAGGGAGCCAGCCTGGCTCCATAGAGCCCCTGCCAGCCTGGCCCCACTCTCCTGCTGCCCTGCTCTGGATCCTGCCTGCGTTGTCCCTGGTGCACCAGCATAGGCCCCATGCTCCCACCCGGTTGTCGCTGTGCTCTGCACATTGGCTCGCTGCCCCTTCTCCCCACCTGCTGCAGCCAATTCCCCGCTCCCCACTCTCCCTTCCTGCTGGCTGGCACCACGTGGTTCCCAGCTTCAGCAGTGGTACCACAGGAGCCACCCAGCTGGCCCTGAGGATTGGGGCAATCGCCCACTGCCCTTCCCTGCTTCCCCACCCCCCGCCCGTAATCTGTATTTCCCTTGGCTCAGGGAGGCAGGAACAGTCCCAGCCCAGAAGCTTCCAGTAGTCCCTGCTAGGTAGAGGCTTCTGGCTGGGGCTTGGGATGTGGGGCTTGGGTGAGGCGGCT